TACCAGACAGTATAAATATATATTAGGTCTAGTTAACCAATAAAAAACAAACAAAATTTAAAAATTCTAGAACTTTCTCCTCCTTATTTAATTTCTGATTAAGCTTAATAGTAAAACATGTCAAATTTATAAAAATTTGTTCTTTATACTTCATATATATATATATATATATATATATATATATATATATATATATATATATATATATATATATATATGGTGGCTGGCTGCTCATCGTATGCCAGTCTACTAGGGCAGCTGCTATCTGATATCTACTCAGGCACATGTGTTTGTTCAACAACCACAGAGCCCACCTGTGGTTTATACTGCAACTCTGCTGAACAGACCTTAATCATAGTTTCTGGCATGATCAACAGTCTGAACAAGGCCAGTACACTTAAACCCTCAGTCACAATGACTTGTGATATCATACTAGCACACCCATCAGTGGCTTCCAAATAGTTCTGTCTACCCAATTTCACTTACAAAGCTTGGGTTAACCTGTGGTATGGTTTTCAGGCACATTCCAGAGGTGTTGTATGCTGGAATCACCTCCCTAGGCTGATAACATGAAGAGGTCAACTTCCTGATAAATCAACCATGATGAGATTCAAACCCTAGGCATGTGGCAAAGTTGTTTGAATGCTCCCTTTCTAACTAATATATATTTAGCATTGTGAATAGGAGGAATAATGTCTTTGTTATTTTATATGGCTTATGAATTTTTATTGGGTTGACCAAAAAGTTTGTTTTATTTTTATCATTAGAGGTCATGAGTAGAGTTTACTTAATCTTCATTAAAAAAAGATTATATTTAACATCATTTTGCTATTAACAATCATATCAACGTGCAATTTTTCAAAAAAATATTTATCATTCTTTCTGTTTACTGATTCAGACATTGAAGATGGAAGGAAATATGCAATATTTTTGACAAATTATTATTTTTATTTAATGAAAAAAAAATGAAACTCAAGTATAAAAGATTTGAGCTGTTTATGAAGAAGGTATTGTGTACAATCAAATGTGTCAAAAGTAGCTTGTAAATTTTAATGCTGCTCCAAAGTCCAGGCAAACCAGATGAGGTTGATAGAAATCAAATGAAAAGATTACTTTTAGATAATAGATCATGGGAAATAACCAGGATACTGAAAATAGCCAACTCATAACTAAAAATAATTTGCACCAGTTGCTTAGATGATTTGTTAGGATAACCTAAAATTAAGATATTGTCAGCATCCCATTTTATATTGTCATTGTATGAACTATGACTGACCTTTTACAAGTACCAGATTTTCTGTATCTGTATTTTTTCAGTTAGTCCCCAAAAAATAAATGAGTGTTTTTCACATGTAATTATTTTCTCCTCTGAGTTGTTTCTTGTTTGAATTCTATATGCAAATATGACTCAACCACTAACATTTAATGCAACATGTGCAACTTCCATATAAATGAAAAAAAATCTATGTGACTGTGTTTTAAGTATGATTTAATAGTGACAAACTATGAAAAGTGGATAATTTACAAAGAGTAAGAAAAGTGATTGTAGGCTAATATGGGGAAGGTAAAATGAATCATCACTAAGTGTAACAAAAGATAGTCTTCATCTAAATATGGCAAAGCTGTGTATATGATGAAATTAGAAGGTAATTTATAATTGCTGTATGTTCAAATCATAATTGGATCTTCAACTTGTTATGGGAAGAGGTAACCCATTTGAAGGGAATTTGAGTGAAAATTCAACACATATGTGGGTCTTTTTATATATTTATATACAGAACAACATATCCCCCACTGCCTAAAAGTAAAGAAATATATATTTATAGCATTAGCTGTAATGTGTATATGTATATGTGTGATGTGCCATATGGTTTGGTTGGAACTAAAAATTGGTTTGCTTAGGAAACTAAGTCACACCAGAAAGGAAATGACATATCTGGTTACTATAGTATCATGTGGTTAAAGATAGCAACAACAAAAAAAAAAGAAAAAGACTTTCAGTCTTTTCATTTTATACTTTTTAATCCAATGCCACCCAGTGGGCATTAAGAGAATTTTCCTGGTAAACAAGGTGTGCTAGTCCCACAAGTTCTCTAAGAACTTATTCTGAAGAAGCAAGCAACTTGTTCAATCAAGTACTACTCCCAATTTGATTAATTTAGGGTAGCAAGTGATGAAAAGTGTTCATCTGGAACTTGTTAACAGAAAGCAGAACATAATTGTTATAACCTAGGGAAGGTTACTGAATAGAATAATCACATGAAGGTTGGTAATGCATGATAATACTTAGGACACGAACAACACATATAAGATTTGCCAGCGGTACGTAGAAGTAGTCAACTGCTAGAAGTGAGTCAACTGAATTCCACAATGAATCTCCAACTGCAGAACAATGTACCGCATTTGCTACTGTACTTATGTGAATGGGGACATACTCATTATCGTCTGTAGGTATGCTACAACAATAATATTCTACAAGGATAACACTTGCACATATAATTCATTGGTAACCAGGCAAAAATTATAAAAGTTTGATTGTGAAGTTTTTCATATTTCATATTTGGATTAGCACTTACTCTAGTCTTTATAGAAATTTCTTAATGAAAAATTTCACTTCTCTGGAAGACTGTAAGAGTCATTTAAAGGCAGGGTTGGATTACCCTTTAGGCTAGTATTGGCTGCAGCCTAGAACCCATGGTTGGTTTTTGACTTTGCAGGAAGCAAAGCATGGAAAAGAATGTTGTGGTTTGTGTCATTGTAGTTAACATGTTTGATTTTAGTTCAGAATGTTTAATTCTTAGAAATTTCTATAAGGCAGTTATTTTAATTTTCTAGATGCTATAACTTCTAGTTTCATAAATTGAAATGATATCAATGGCAGACTCATATTTATTTGATTGTTTTATTGTTATAATGCTGGTTATAAAAAATCTGTTTTCCCTCACAACAGTTGTTATGAAATATGTGCTAATTTGTTTTGCAATAAATAGTAAAATAGTGGTATTTCTTAAAGAATATTTTTTATTGACAAACAAAAACATATATACATCCAATAATTTGCTGAAAAAAGTGCATAGCATGATGTAATAGAACCCAAACTTGATAAAAACAAAGTTTTATCATCAAAATGTTATTAAGAAGAATGACCAAGGTATTTTTTGATTATTTTGTTAAATTTTTTAATCCTTTCTAGCATGTTCAAAATTTTGGTTAAAAATCTTGTTTTTTATGCATCAGCAAAGATTAGGAAATTTTTGCATCTTTTTTTGCAGTAAAACACACTGATTCGGAAACTCTTACAAAAATCAAATAATTGTTAGATTTTAATGAAACTTTCAGAACTTATTCAGAAATGAATGAAGTTATTTTTATTAGAAAATTTTGGTAGAAATTTTTTTTTTTTACATCTGTTACCCCCACCTGCTTACTTAATCAATGAAATTTCCAGAAATTAAATTTGTTTTCCCACTTCATATTTACATTAGTTTAAAGTAGGACTCCTTGGAGAATGTAAATCATTTTTTTTTCAAACAGTTACTCCTTTTCCGAAAATCTGCTCTGAATTATAAAATAAAAAATTCAATCAAACTAAGACATTATTTAATTAGAACAGCTTTTAATTGCTTTTATAAATATATATATATATATATATATATATATATATTAAGGACACTATTGTCTTGAGAAAAAACTTTTTCGATAGACAATGAATTTTTACAAGATTATCATTTTTTTTACATTTTAATTAGAATAAATAACTAAGTTTTAAATATTTTTAATCTCTTGAAATTCTGTCTTAATTTGTCCCTTTTAATTTAAATAATATTAATTATTATTATTAATTGAAAACTTTATTAATATTGAAAAACTTAGTACAAATCACACACCAATATTTTTGAAAGGATTTTTAATTTGTTGTGTATAAGCATGACAATTTTAACATCCTCAGAAAATAAAAGCGATATAGTAAATTTACAACAAAAATATTTAAAATTCAATAAAACATTAGAGAAAATTTCTTAAATTTTTAAGATTACTGAGTACTTTAAAATAAAATGCGCTCACGAATTCAATTGCTTTTCTAACGCTTAAAGCCCCCAAAGATCAACATGTCAAACCCGCGAACTAGTCAGGTTAAAAAAATGCATTTCTGCGACATTTTAAACTTAAGTAAAAAAAATAGTTATTTCAAATCAGATTATTAATTATACTTTTTAAACCAGCTAATAATGGCTCAAATAAAGTTTCAGAAAAGTATATTTTATTTTTGAAAGATTTTAAATAAAAGAACATCACATTGCGATGAAAATGAACTAAAAAAGGCTGCTAATCAGCTATTTTTTTAAACCAACAAAAAAAAAAAAATTCCTTCCAGCCAATTTAATTTTTTTTTTTTATTGGAAATAAATTTTTAATCTATTAGCTTGAGAGACATTAATTGAAATTAATTTAAAAAAAAAAAAGCTTCCAGAATTTCAAACACTTTTAAAAATTCATTTTATTAATTTATTTTAAAAGTTTTAGGTATTTTTTAAAAAAATTTTTAGATACCGACAAAAAAGAAAAAAAGATAGCTATTCTACTTTCTTTATTTATCGAATTTGCAATAGGTTTAACTTCAAGGTATGTAAATGTTGCTAAAAAAATATATCACAAAAAAAAATATTCAAGCAAGCAAGACGGATGCGGGCGAGTTAGGGTTGTAGAGCATAAGTGGTGTGATCTGAGAGGTGCGTGGGGCATAATTTCAATAGACCCCCCCCCTTTAAAATGTTATAATCCGGCCCTACCTAAAGTAGGTATTTTCTGAGAAAGGTTAAAAAAAATAATGGAGGCCAAGGAAGTTATGTATTTATCAGAAAGATGGCAAACAATGTTATGTTCAATGACGCAGAAACTTAAAGTGTCATTTATGCCAACTATTTAACCGAACGACCCTCATGTCAATATATTCACCCCCGCCGAAATCAAAACGCGCATGCGTGGTTGTGCGGCGAAAAATGTTAGCTTTTCAGGTTACGAAAACAACAAAAAACATTTTCAATTTCACGGACATTAAAATATTGGATTTTCAAGAAAATTATAATTACATCAGATGCATAGATTTTTATATAAAGGCTATTTCTGCAGCGTGAGTAAACTAATTTTTTTTTGTTTATATAAGTATATATATACCTACCTACGTGTTTTTTTTTTTTTTTTTTTCGGATATTCTGCTCGTCGCAAACAGAAAGGGATAAATTGACTACAACACGTTTTAAATTTGATTTTTCTGTTGTTTCTTTTTAGAGGATTTTTTTTCACGGTTTCCTAGTTTCTCTTTTTAGTTTATGGTTTTCTTTTGGTTAATTATCGATTATGATGCTGATTTTTGTAACAAAAACGTTCGCAATAAAAATAATGCAAAAAAAAAGAAAAACGCAAAATTAAGTAATTTAAGAGATATTTTTTTCTGAATGTGAATTTAACTCACATGATTACTTTGATTTGTTGTAAAAACAACAAATTTAAAAGCAACCGCCGGTGTAAAAACAAAATTAGTTCCTTACATAAAATTACGTAAAACGTTTCCCTTAATTTCGCTTGAATTGGAACAGAAACAAAGCCTCCTTGACCGACTAGGTTACAATAATATTTATTTCTGTAACAATACACAGAAAATGTGGCACAAGGCCTAAAAAGTGGGGATGGGGAAAGATGGTCATCGTCTGTCTTAATTTAAAACTTAGCTAGCCACAAACACTGACACCAAACACAAACAATAATCATCCTAGAGCACCAAAACAGCACATTTTCACTTACCTTTCTTACTACATTCACCAAAATACCTCATTGTTTCAATGAAATCTTAAAATGACCCCATATGTACAAATCGTCGTCTGTGGAGGAGGGGAATAAAACAACAAATTAAAAAATCCCCAATGTGTATGAAAATAAACTATTTATTTTTTACATCACAAAAACTAAACAAAATTATGTAATCCCTCCCTCAAACCTTAAATTTTAAATGTGGCAGAAATGTCAGTTAAATAAATGGACGAAATCGATGCGGGACTATAATAATGTAGAAACATTCACCCATCCCAAGCACTCACACAGACACAACGGCAAATACGAAAAAAAAAAATACGAAACGAAAGGCGTCCCGCATCCACCAGAGAACTGACATCACTGACCACCTAACGAGGGGGGGGATGGGGAGTTAAACTAAAAGGAAAAAAGGGACAAATGAGCAAACACTCCCTAGCTAAGTTTACTGGAAAAAAAGGAAAAAAACTAAAAAGAATCAAAAACAAAAAACTGCACAATCCTAAAATCCAGGGATGGATTGTCCAAATTCAGCCGACTAGCTTTAAATCACTCTGGCAGTCGCCCTCCTTTTTTTTTTGACATGTCATAAATTAATTCTCATTCGGTTTTTACATTTTATTAGGTACCTCTCCAAAGATTCGCTAAGAAAATGAGCATACATGATGAAAAAATGCCCCCAAATACCTTAATTTTATCGTCAAGTCAACAAAATCATTTGAAGAGGAAAAACCAAAGAATTTTTTGATTATTGATCAAATCGGATTTTAATGAAACTTTTTAGGTCTTATTCACAAATGAATTAAATTATTTTTTAAATGTTTCTTTTTCAGAAAATCTTTGTAAAAATATTTTGTTGACAACGCTATGAAATTTCAAGGAATTCTAAGGACAGTCCTTCTTAGAGAATTTATTTTTATCATTATTTTTTTTCAGTCGAGTCTCCCATTTACAAAAAAATCTGCTCTAAATCGTAAAATAAAAAAATACAATAAGTCAATATTTTTGAATTAGAAAAGCTTTTAATTGCCTAAACTTTTATGGGCACTATTGTCTTAAGAAAAATATTTTTTGATGAATAATGAATTTTTATAAGAATTGTTTCAATTATTTAAGTTTTAAATTAGAATAATTTATAAATTTTTAAATCTTAAAATTCTGTATTAATTTGAATCAGTCAAGTGATTGTTATTAAATTAAGAAGAGTAAAACTAAAAGTGTAAGACTCATCATAAGTGAAAATGCTCACTACAGTTTAACGCCCCTCCCCCAATATTTTTTTTTTAATTGTATTTCATGTGCGAAACGGTGTCAATTTTTATTATAGGTGTGTCCAAACTTGACATTAAGAAAATAAGAGTTATAACTTAATGTTTAAAATTTATTAGTAATTTTCTAACATTTCCTCTAAAAAGCATTCTTCTATAAAGCCAAAATACCAACAATTCAATAATATTAATTAGATTTCTTAGAATATTTTGCTAATTTTTAAGGATTACTGGGTAGTTAAAAAATTAAAAAGTTAATATTCAAGTAATTTTTACAGTTTAGAAAAATTTCCAAACATGTCTACACAGAAATGTGACAACACCTCATAAAAACAATCACTTCCGTGTTAAAAACTAAAAGTTTTTTAAACTAAAAAAAGTAATATTTCAATTATTTGTTTCAAATCAGATTAATTAAAAATTTAAATCAGCTAATTTACCTGAACATTTCAGAAAGGTATATTTTATTTTTTAAGATTTTTTACTAAAGAGAATTATTATGTTGAGACTTGAGCGTTTTTACTGATAAAAACAAAAGTCGTTGTAAAATTCAGTTTGAAATACAGCAAAATATTTTGCTTCTTATTCGAAATACTAAATTTAATGATTAAATTTTAATCTATTATCTTGGAATTAAAACTAAAATAGAAGCTTCAAGAAAAATTTTTCATCTATAAAAAACCTTAGGTATTGCATTTTTTGGAGACACGTTTTATTTTTTTTAATGGCAATTTCCTAATTATTTAAAAAAATGAAAGAAATTGGATTCCAATAGTTTTAAAATCCTTAGTCATTGCCGCATAAATGTTTACCATTTCGATAATGATCGTTTTTAAACATAATTTCCCCAAATGGAGTATGGACAGGCACACACCCTGATGCCTGAGGCAATATACTGATGGAAATGAGTTAATTCTTCCACATATAATGTATGTTGGTGCTCACTTACAAAAAAAGAAAGAAAAAGACTTTGTGTCAAATCTAAGACTATCTTTTTTGGATTTACTTTGGTCACATCCCATCTCTGTGGGGTGGGGAAGTATATATAAAGACAGCTTTATTCTTTTCTTCAGTATAGACCATTTACTATACAATCATTCCTCATCTCTTCATCTTATGTTGATTGGTTTAGGGTGGTGATCTCAGCATGCCTCACCGTTAGAAAGTGCCTGAAGATCATACCACGGGTTGATCCAAGCCTTGTCACTTAAATTGGGTATATGGAATTGTTCAAAGGCCATCAATGGTTGTGTTAGCATGAAGTCACAAGTCATTATAACTGATTGTTTGAATGTACTGACATTATTCAAATTGCTGATCATGACAGGTTGTGCACTCTCTCCCCAGAAACTGTAACTAACATCTGCTCAACATAGTTGTGGTATAAACCACATAGACTATTTCAAACTGTCTGCTTTCCAAAGAATATCAGGATCTAGACAAAGAAATTCTGTCTACCACATAAGCACCACAGGGTTCTTGAAAATGACTGAGATGGTTGAAAGCACTTGAAGAAAACAATGACACAACATGAACTTTGGACAGTTTATCCACAATTTAGAGCACAATACTCAATACTACATAGAAACATCAGACCAGTGGTAAACTTATAAACGTGTAAGATAGATTCTGGTGAGAAAAATTCTCTAGCACAGCTGAGTGAACCAACTTTGCTAGTAAGTGATTCGATATAATCTTTCCACCTGATGTCTGTGGAAAATATATGTCAAGTTTTAGATAAGAAGAGTGAAGCTTTTGTTTTCAGTTTATCATGTGAGGGTCAAATTCTCCAAGCCCTTCTTTCTCATTATGTATCCTAGAAACTTTGTTTCTTTCTGATTTTATGTATCATTGTCTATTTTGCTTCCATTTTCTTTAAAACTTCCTCATTGTTCACATGCCTCATCCATGTTATTTGCAGCTCATTGGAAATACTGACAAAAATCTAAATAAAATGTGTGCAACACTATGCAAGAAAACGTTGTTTCAGTTCTCTAATTGACAATCATTATTTCTTATTACACTCCCTTACTTGCTACAAGCTGTACAATGAAAAATATGATTTTGTTTTTTTTATTTTTACAGCTTATCAACCTTTTGCTCGTTATTTAAAGCTAGAAAATAATTTTAGATTGTAGGAAATTTTTGGGGATGATAATGATTTACTGCTACAAGTCCTACAACCCATAGTTGTGAGGAGAAAAGGTGGATTCATACCTTTCCCAATGATGTTTGTGGATAAGTGAAAATAACAAACCAGACTAGAATTGGAGCCATTATTCATTACACCATTGGGGCATACAACCTCACAGCACTTGGTATTCCTAAGTGGTTATCCATCTAGGTACTGACCAGGCTCAATGTTGCTTAACTTCAGTGATCATATGAGAACTGTTGTATCAATGGGATATGGTCGTAAGTTCTTGAGAAATATGATTCATAACATGTTTACCTATTGTCATGTACTGACAACCTTACTTTCATTCCTGACACAAAAATTAATGAGAATTTGTTTTCTTTAATAATATAAGATAAACATTGACAAGAGTTGTTTTTTTTTTGTTTTTTTTTTTCTTTACTCCAGGTTAAAGCTGATCTTACCAAGAAATGGCCATTTTGAGTCCTGATACCCAGCAAAAAGTGACATATTTTTCTAAGGGACTCCATGTACCTTTACAACCTTTGGAAATAGGGTTCTACTTTCTCACAACAGTAACTGCTGTATTCCTTATATGCAGAAATGTCTGGACTGCTTCCAAAGGTAACAACTTAGAAAAGTTTTTATTTTTTTTACACTCATGAGATGAAGTATTGTTATGGCATGAAGATTTATTTCAAACAATAGCCTCATTTTTATTGCTTTCAACTCATGACTATTAAATGTATCTTCATATGATTTTAATTCTTCGTATTTTTGTGCAAAAGTGTTTTCAGGGAGAGTCATTTGTACATGCATCTGCACACACAAACACACATGCATATATGTATTGCTTTCAATTCATGGTTGTTAAATGTTTCTCAGTATGAATTTCATCCTTTGTGTCAATATATATGTCAGTGTATATATATATATATATATATATATATATATATATATAAAAGAGAGAGAGAGTTCACTGAAAGTCTGCTGAAGATTAGATGTGAAAAAAAAAAATCCATGTAATTTTGAATACACATTAAATTGGTGAAATTGGTAATATATATATATATATATATATATATATATATATATATATATATATATATATATATATATTTATTTTTCAAGTTCCATCTATGAAATTTGATAGACAGAACTTGTTCATATTATTTAACCAAACATGTTTGAAAGAATTATTGCTGTTGAAATACCTTACTTAAATATATATATAAAAGGCAGGATGTGTGTGTGTAACAAATGCACGGCCGCAATTTTCGACGGATTTGCACCAAAATTTACATGCACATGCTCCAAGTTAGCGGGAAGGCCAAAACCAACTTTGCATTTCACAACTCCCATCGATAGTGAAAATAATTGATTTTTTTCATGCTTCTATGGCAGTTTTCATGTAGTTTGCAGCCATTTTCTACTATTCAGAGTGAGAGCCTATAGCTGGCTGCCACGAATAGGCAGGAAGATTCTATTGGCCAGTGTGAGAGCCAACAGCTGACTGACATGAATGTTAACTAGCATCGATAGCTGCATTTGTCACAAGTGGGAAAAATTTAAATCTGCATGGCACTTTACTTCAATTGGCTCATTCGCTTGCTTAAACTCAACGTTGATTCTGATTCTGCATAACTGGGTTGGGTGTGAAAAAGTATTTGTTGTTAACATTCTTTATTCATTCGGTTTTTCCAGTTATGAGTCCTTTTTTTAAAGCTGATCGTTTTGTGTTCATTTTGTTTAGTTCTTTTTTCTTAACAGATTTAATGTTTAGTATAGTGCTTAGAAAAAATTCGCAGTGTGAGATAGGCAAGAAGTAAGGCATGTAGCAACATCAGCATGGCAAAGGGCACTCCTTTAATGGCAAGGAAGGGCAAAAATATTTTAAGTCAAGTGATAGCGATTGCTGTATGAGTTGTACGATTTTTGAATCAAGCACGGGCAATGCCGGGTCATGCTGCTAGTATATATATATATAAAATGTTAAGAATATAGTTTTAAAATATGCAATATTTATGGGTAGAAGTGTTCAATATCAGGGATGGAGTATATGTAAATATAAAAGTGGACATTGAAGTCAACACCTAATTGTGACAGTCATGTTTGAACTTACTCCTCAGGTTATATGTGTTATGTGTTGACTCTAAACTGTTTGTCAACAGTGCATTATGAGTAGCAAGGTCTATTGTATTGTCCTAACAGTTATTGGATAGGTGGTAATGGAATAAATTATTTTACTCCCTATCCAATAATGAAAATCCATGTGTATATGTGTGTAAAAATATGTACACAAGGCACATGTGTGTATCAGTGGTGATAGAAGGCAAAAAGGTTCATTAAGTTGATTAAAAGAGTCAATTCATTTTGGAGGTGTTAAAATTAGCAAACTATTAACTATTATGTTTACATTTGTAGTAAGAGCAATGACAATCAATATTAACTTCTTGATAATATTTATTAACTTATAGGTTCTTACAAATGTGTATTTTATTGTTATGCCTATGTTTATTGCTTTAATAACATGTGTAACAGATATATTTATAGCAAACATGGAAGTACTTAAAATCCTTTGTGAAATTCTTCCAGATATTTAGATTAAATGTGAGTCTAGGCTTTTCCGGTTTGGTGGTTGACTAGACACCCAACAGGATGAAAAACAAGACCTGTCATAGGGTGGATAAACCTTCTTGTAGGGTCGATGACCATCTAGCACAATAGGGTAGTCAGGGCAGTGGGATTCCTAGACAGATGTTAATGAGCAGAGTAGAGAATTCCTCCTAATGGAATCAATCATCATGCATCTGTGACCAAAGCAAATCTCCAAGATGGAAGACATTGGCTGTGGTGTGAACTGGAGAGGGATAGGGTCTGCCAGGTCTACTTCCCTAAGACATGCTACACATGAATGAATACCTTCTGACTCAATTCATATAAGTATAAAAAAAGAGAACTGTTCAGGTGTTCAACTGCACAGTGACTCTACAACCACACCTATTCATTGGGTTTATGATGATGATTTTTTTTTTCTTATAACAAAGTAATAATGCATTATTGGATAAAATTTTATCAAATTTGATTAATACTGGTTTTAGTATAAATTTGTTCTATAAAAATGAACTTATAGTGAAATGATTTTTACAATATTGCAAAAATTATGAGGCCAAGTAAAAGGGATTATACTTTATTAATTTTTTTTTTTGTATTTTAGAAAATGTTGTGACTTGAGGATTTATTTCAAATAGTAAATTTGTTTTGTATTTTAGAAAATGCTGACAAATTAATAGCTAGTGACTTTGCTGCTGGTTGGAGTTTTCTAAATAGAAATAAGGTAAGTTATTTTTTATTTTTTTTTTTAAGAAAAATGTGTTTTCTTAAATGAGGCTTTACAATGCAATTATTTTGTTATACAGTGTAACCCGGATATAAGAGAGATTTTCTCTGGTCCCAAATTAGAGCCTGTGTTAATGTATATAAAATAGACCAAACCCGGATATAAGAGAAACCCGGATATAAGAGACTTCTTCTCCGGTCCCGACAACTCTCTTATATCCGGGTTACACTGTATATTTTAACTGAAGGAAACAGTGATTTCAAATCTGCCATTTTTATATACTTCCCAAACTGTAGGTAATTTTTTAGTAGGCACTATTTTTGCTATGGAGTATTCCAAAGTAGTGGAAGTTACAATAGAAACAAGAAACAGTTTTCAATAATCTTTAGAATCATTTCATATTTAGTATTCTTTAGGAATGGTTTAGCAGGCAAGAAATCCCTTTTGTGGAGTTGATTGCTGTTTTTGTTAAGGGAGCTTGTAATTTTGTTGGTCTCCAAAATCTCATAATAAAGTTTTGGGCATATTTATTAAATTGTTATTATTGGTGCATATTTATAAGACCAGCTGAACTTTCAACTTAGGAAGTTTGAATTTAGCTGATTGTTTTTTGTTTTTTTTGTTTTTTTTTATTAGAGGTTTTTGTACAGGGTGGGGAAGCAAATTTTGCACTAAAATTTTTTTTTTTTTTTCATGAAACAGTTCAACTAATTTTATGAAACCTGGTCCATTTTATTATCATAACCTTGCATTATAATTACCCACATTTTTTTTTCAGATAATTGTGTAAAAGACGAATGTTGAGGAAAGCAAATGTTAAAGGGTGTGTGATATAATAAATGCACATGTTCATCCACAGAAGATTTCAAGCATAGTTGGATTATCCCTATGGACAGTTTTTAATGTGAAGAAGAGAATGACTATGAAGGAAATTATTTAAAGAATCTCTGGAAGTGGCGGAAACAACAAAAAGTTCAATTATGATTTCATCAACACTCTCAAATCCCAAATCTCAACAGATCCAACAAAATACATGAGAAAATTAGCAACTGAACTTAAGGTGGATGCTCAGACTATCAAAACAGCAATGAAAGATGACTTAAAACTAAAATCTTATGCAATAACACATAAAGACATTTGCTGACATGATCCATGAAGGCCAGAAGATTGGAAAAATGCAAAAAAAAGTCCTTACTTAAATGAAACAAGTCCAAATTTTCTCACACAAAAAGATCTTTACAGTTAATGCAGGAATGACAGATACATTGCGCACTCAAAAGCTCATATCAGAGGCACTTTCAGAATGAAGAATCCAACTCAAGTTATGGTCTTTGAGGTTGTGCCTCCAAAGAGAAAAAATGCCTATGAAATTTTACAAACCAGGTGAAAAAGTTAATGCTAATGCCTATTACAAGACTCTGAGATACAATGTATTACCATGGCTCAAAGCCAACTACCCAGAAGGAAAAAATGTATGGACTCTGGAAGATGTTCCTGCCCATACAGCCAAAAAAAGTACAGAATTTCTGCAAATCCAATTTTGCTAATTTTTGTTCATCACACTTCTGGCCTTCTTCCAGCCCAGATCTCATCCCTCTAGATTCTGCTGTTTGGAATGTTTTAGAACATGCTACTAATAGAATCTCTCATCCAAATTTTAACTCTCTTATGGATACCATTGGAGAAGAGTGGGACAAGATATCCTCTAGTTTTTTGGAGAAGAATTGTAGAAGTTTCGGGGGGGGGGGAGTGGAGGCAGTAATTGAGAAACAATGTGGATGAATCAAATAAAATTTATCTTTCATTTTGTATTTGTATGTTGGAACCATTCATATTTCTTTAAATAAACTAATTAATCAATGATAAGGCTTTCTATTTCAATACCAAAATTATGCAAGTTTTCCCTTCCTACTCTCTATAAGTATTTTTCAGAAAGTTGTTTTTCTGTCAGTATCTCTTTTGAAAAGTATTTTTCATAGACTTTTTTCTTTTTAAAAAAAATGAAAAAACACAAAAAAATAGATGCTGTGTAATTATAGATAATTATAACCTGAAACAATGATTGATTGTTGTCTAATGAAGTTCTTGCATCTTGTAAAGACTTTTTCAAATCTTTAGTTGAATGCTCTTGATGCTCACCTTTATACACTTTACAAGCAAAGATACTCTACAGGTTTTCAATTGGATTGAGTCCAGAACATGCTGGCTAACTTATAACATTGTAGTTCTGAAAACATTGTGCATTGGAGCATTGTCTTGGAACTTCCTGTTGACACCAGCAAAATTTCTTCTGAATACAGAACAAGGTCACAAGATTTTGATATCTGGCAGTATTAAGTGTTAATGAAGGTCATTGGTGTTTTTTCCAAGTGTAAATTTCAGCTGGTCTTATCATTATGCACCACACTGTATTTTTGGCAGTGACTTCTTCACTAAATAGGAAAAGCTTATATATTTTTCTCTAATAGGCATTATGTTGCATATATCCTTGGCTTGTTATTAAAATTTTGTGGGCATGTGGCTGAGTGGTTGGTGTTCCAATTGTGAGACCCAGGTTCACATTTTACTATAGTCAATTTGTCAAGGAGGTGACTTCTTAATATTTTTTCTTAATAATTTCACCCCAAGCAAGGCAATAAAGCTACTAAGATACAAGGGTATTACTGAGTGTTAAAGAATCTGCTAAAAAATATTATAAAGGAGAGAGGCTAATAAAAGTGATCATGAGAGAGAAGAAATTGTTAATATAGAACTTATGATTGCATCTCACAAAGATTAATTATTAAAGAGAGAGAACAATAAAAGATTAAGAAGACAGAAGATAACAATTGACATTGCATTTAAATTTTTGAAGATCAAAGTTGACTGGGAAGCAAGAAGCTGGAAGAGAGTTCCACAAGTGAGAAATATGAGAGAAGAAACTGTTACATCTAGCTATTTCAGCTGTAAAAGGATGAAACCTAGCTGCCAATCTAGTACTGCACTTAAATTTGTGAAGTCAAGGTACTTATCTGTACAATTAACATGAAAATATTTGCAGAAAAGAAAAATATAAATATTTATATTGGCCTGGAGAGAAGATCCCAGTGTATGGCACCATATGATAGGTAGACTCAAGCCATGTGAATGAAACTGGGTAGAAAAAAATGTTCAAAAGCCATTGGTGGTTGTGCTAGCAGAAAGTCACAAGTTGGTGTGACTGAGTGTTTGAATGTACTGGCTTTGTTCAACCATTGATCATGCTAGATTATGCACTCTCTGCCAGAACCTTTGCTCAGATTTATTGCAGTATAAACCACATGTTGGCTTTTTGGGTGTTGAAGAAATACAAATGTGTCTGAGCAGGCGTTTGCAACAGGGATTAACTAATCACTCTAGCAAACAGATGTACTTGGAAATGAGCAGCAATTTTTATTAAATTTTATTTAATCTTTTTCAGGACATATCTGAAATTGAATGGGGATATTGGCAAAATTGGTTCTTTGAAGTTTTGCCATTTCTCTGTGGTCATCTCATCATTGGTAAACTTATAGAATGGAAATTCTATCAAGTAAGAATCGTGATTTTTCCCACTTTGTGATCATTTTTCTTTTAAGCTCAGACACAGATGCTGAACTGGTATGAATGTTACTGCAAGTGTTGTACCAAACAGTGAAGAACAAATGTTTATTTATTATTAGTGTGCATATACATGAAAAAGTGGGAAATGTTTGTGTGACACATTTTGTTCTTCAGGACTTCATCGTACTAGGTTTGTTTACGTTGAAGCAACTACACATGCACATGAATGAAAGATGGTGTGAATTTTAAATTAGAAAAAAAAAATTTTTTTATGCATTTTGGGTATATAATCTAGTCAATTCTATTTAGATTCTTTTTGTTTCAATCATTGTTATTAAAAAAAATAATTTTTCTAGATTTAAAATTTCCAGCCTCTCTCGTTTGTGTTCATACATCGCTGCATCAGTGTAAATGAACCTTTTCTGATGAAGTCCTAAAGTATAAAACACATCACACAAAAACTTTTTCCACTTATATATCCTTCCTCCAAAATTGTTCTTGATATATAAAAATTTGTCTTTATCCCATATATATATATATATATATATATATATATATATATATATATATATATATATATATGGGAATCTTTCATCTCTGTGCCCACGAAAAAAAGGTCTGTCAAAAGAATGTTTTTTTCCATTGATATCACTATTATTTTAACTATCTTCATCTCTTGGCAATATTTAATGGATTAAAAAACAATGATTAGAATTGTAATAAAGCTTAAAGATATGATGAAAGTGAATTTATACACTTGTTTTTTGTTGAGAATTTACAACAAAAATATTAAATGTTATTTATTTATTAGATTGCTTATTTACAAGAATAATTTTATATTTACAATATTCTAAAAGCTAATACAGTATTTATTATTATTTAATTTATAAAGGAATAAATGTAAAAACAATTTTTTATTCATAAATTTATAAATTATCAAAATATTTGAACCAACTATAAGGAAATCCTTATTTACCATTTTATAAAGTTTGAATCAATTGGAAATTAGCCAGTATTTTGTAAACAATTCCAATAAACAATATAAATTGTGTCAATAAACAAGCTAATAAATAAATAATGTGTTTATTGTTGCCAATACTCAAGAACAAAGAAAATGTATAAATTCACTTTCATATGTTTAGATTTTATTAAAATTCTAATTGTCACTTTTTAAAATAATAAACCTTGCTGAGGAGTGAAGGTATTTAAAATAATAGCAGTGTCAGTGGAAAAAGTGTCCTTTTGGCACACTGTTCTTTTGCAGGCATGAAAGTTAAAGATTGCCTATATATGTATGTATGTCTAAGGATGTACATAAATTATTAGCTGAATTTTGATCTCAAAGTTTTACTGTAAAATGTTTGATCTCTGTGATTAATATTCACCACTGAAGTGCATTGACAAAGGAGATTTTGTTTAAATATCAGCATATTACACACATATATATATATATATATATATATATATATATATATATATATATATATATATATCTCAAGTATAGGATTGGTGTATATGGAAGAAATTCCAATAACCAACAAATACTATTCTTAAAAGAGTGCTCAATACAGAGTAGAGCAAATATAATTATTTATTCAAAAATTATAACATAAATATGTTATAAAATCAATACAAAAATAGCCATTTTGTTTCAACACTTCTGGTGTCTTATCAAGTGATCAATCAAACACCCCTCGCTAGGGGAAACACTGTTACATAAGCTGGAATGACCAATCAAAATACAAGTATATGAGAATTGGCATTTTGAATTTTATAGCATAATTTAATATTTATTAGTTAGAATGAATTTTATTTTAGTTTAACCCTAACATTAAAGCATTAAATAATTATTATAACCAAAGTTCGTTGTCAAGTTTTTTGAATTCTCATATACTTGTATTTTCATTGGTCATTCCAGCTTATGTAACAGCGTTTCCCCTAGTGAGGGGTGTTTGATTGATTTGAAACTTTTAAAAGCCTTTATTCTACATTCAACACCATCACTTGATGAGACACCAGAAATGTTGAAACAAAATAGCTATTTTTGTAGTGATTTTTATGTTATTTTTTAGAAAATAACATATTTATATTTATTTAATATATTTATATATATATATATATATATATATATATATATATATAAAAAATTTATATATATATATATATATATATATATATATATATATATATATATATATATATATATATATATATATATATATATATATAATTTTCACTTTCAAGCCATTATAAACTATCCTATTGATATTTGGTCTATATTTGAATGTATTTTTTTTGGTGCATTAATAAACATCTTCAAAATTGAAGCCTCCCATTGCCACATTTTGTGAATCCTGCCTAATGGCATTCAATATATTCTTTATATTAACTCTTTAGCATTCAATCAAACCCACTCAGTAAATATCAGATCTCATTGTTCAACATGCTGTAAGCCATTCCTTGTATAATCTGCCATAATATAAGATGACATCATTGTAAATAATGCAGGAAGTCATGCAAACAATGAAACTTTAAGAGATGATATTTACAAGGCAGGTTTGAGCATTTTGAATGCTAAAGAGTTAAAGTATACATATACATTACTGATTTGTATTTTTTCTTTTAAATTTAATTCAGCTCTTCTGTGCCCTTAGTTCATTTTAAAATTTTCTTTTTTAAAAACAGATTCGAAAATATTTCTACACCTGTTTTTCTCTCATCACCTTGATTTCTGTGCTTGGCTTCAGGCCTTCTCTGTTTCTGATATTCAAATGTGCTGTTTGCTATGCTGTGTCCCTGTTGGGGTCCTCTGCTCTGGTGTGGGTCATATCTTTCACCTTCCTTACTTGCCTCAACCTTGATTTCACTGTGGCTTTGATGGTAGGTCATATATTCTTTTTGGATTCAGACTTTTATTTGCTTTTTAGCAGCTATTTTTTTCTTTTTATTTTTAACTTTATCTTATTCAGATATTTTTTTTATTCTTTTCAGTAATTTTAATTACAAGAGTTGATTGAAAATTTAACTTTTCCAATCCTATAAAACAAGTTTTAGATCAGATAGAATAAATAAAATTTGGTAACAAAATTGTAATATAGTAACAACACCAAGTAGAAACATATGAAGCTTTATTAGACTAATTCAGCTTTAGTACTGAAGACATATTTATTGTAATGAAAGTGAGAGGGAAGCTGGGATGTGCTTATTTTAGTACCACAAAAAGGAAGTAAATTTATTCCTTTTCAAAATTACAAGTTTATTTTTTCAACATTTAGTTCAACACATTTTTCCAAACATTTCATGTACTTTTTCATTTTATCTACAACTGAACCATGGATATACAAAAAAGAGAAAATAGTTATGATCAGACTGCATAAATCATACACATAATCCACTCATATATACTACAAATGAAAAAAACATTTATATACACTATATTTCAAACCATACACAATAGGTTATATCTTGATAGAATGTGATGACCAGAACCTAACCCAAATGGATTTTATCAATAGTCAAAATAAAACTTAACTAAATAAAATATTCAGATCCTTATTAAAAGTGAATGATATAACAAGATAAACCTCCAACTATACTACTACCTTGATTATCTGTACTTTGATTTTCCAAACTTCAATTATCCAGACATGAAAAATAAGAGGAAAACTGAAATTATCCAAACTTTTTTCAATTATTCAATTATCCAGTCTAAACCCATTCTAATATTTCATCTTGGACAAGTATTTTGAGAATTTAGGGAACCATACTCAATGTTTGATGAAAATGTTGATAAAATCAGTACAATTAATTTTTTAAAACACTACAGCAGTGATTATGTTTGACAAACTAGACAAAACCTGGAATAAAATATTAGAAAATGTTATTTGATGATATAAACATTAAATTTATTTCAGAAAAAGACCTTTATTCTTTTTTGATAATCTAAGTTTTCAATTATCAAGAATTTTGATTGAGTCATTCATTTTCTATGGCTTACCAACCCTTTGCAGGTTATTTAAAGGCAGAAAATATTTTTAGATTGTAAGAATACTTTTTTTTTTTTTTTTTTTTAAGATAACCATAGTTTAGTAATACAAGCCTTATTAATTAACTCATGGCTGGAGGTAGAGTAAGTAAAGTCATTCCTTTCCCAAAGGTATTTGTGCATAAGTGAATATAACAAACCTAATGGGAATTGGAACTCGGCTTTCCAATTAACAATTCCAAGCCATTATCCATTACACCACCTGCACATCCAAGCTTACAGTACCTGGTATTCGCCAGCAGTCACCAATCTAAGTACTGACCAGGATTGATGTTGCTTAACTTCGATGATCATAAATAGCACTTTTAAATGCAATAATATTAAAATTTATTAGATAGAATATTATTAATTTAATATATTTTATTAATTTCAAAAATACTCTTCATTTTATGCTACTGATATCTTTATACCAAGGAAGTTGAAATTAATATTAGTTCTCCCCCCCACCCCTCCCACATACACACACCTCTGCTTCATGAAGAAGCTGGGCTCATTACCCAGTGCTTGAGCTGTCCCCAAAAGGGGAAGTGCCAAGGGAGCTTGAACAATTTTTGTATGGTGTTTCTGAAATCCTACATTAAACTTCGATCTTGTGTCACATTCTTTTGCAACAATGGTATGCAGATAAAACTTGAGTAGCATATTTACCGTATTTTCCGGCTTACAAGATGCTGCGACTTGGAAGATACACCCTCATATTGGAAAGAAATTTCTAAAAAAAAAAAGTCATTCTCATACGACAACACATTCACCATGCATCCCTCGCATACTGGTGCTACATATTGTTTACATTAATCACTCATCCAATTTTGTTTGTATGGCAATGACATACAAGTCAAGAGCAGAAAGGCTCCCAATGCTGCTAGTAAAATGGAGCATGTTTAAGCATGTGACTCAGCTCCAGGAAGCTTTATAGTCTTGGAAATACTTGTAACAGCTAAGTACTGAGGTTACATCGTATAAAAGGCTGAATTAGATAGCTAACATTATAGTGTAATGACTCAACATACAAATTCATGTCCCTGTCAGTCAAGCCAAATAGGTGACTGTCCAAGCTTACTTGAACTTGGGTGTTACCTTACATTCATCTTGGAAGATTCCCACATATTTTTCAAGGTATTTTTTTAGGTAAAAAAGTGCATCTTGTAAGCCGGAAAATACGGTAAATAAAAATACTAGCATATTATTTTCTGGAGAAAGTAAAGGATACATTGCTATATTATAGGAGTTTAGTAACTTCTGGTAGTTGTCTCTGATAGTCTAATTGGTAAGGCAACTGCAGAAAGGTAAACTTTAAGAGATATGGATGATTGTTTATGTCTTGGCAAAGACTTGCTCTTTACTGATTTACACTGTTTACCAATAATGACAGTCTGAATGCTGTAATAAAAACAAAAAATAGAGATGAAATACCTGTCAAAAAATAAAAATAAAAACATAAATTTTTGTTAAAGAAATTTAAGTTCTCTTACTTTAAAATTTTCTGTTTTTTACTCTGTATGAAAAAATTTTCATAATAATAATAATAAAATGACTGACATAACTCTTCCAATATTTTTCAACACTTAGAGAAGAATGCAATTTTAAAAACAAGACAATGACAATATTTTGGCAGTATATCTGTGTTGTTCAAGTTGTGTTTAAAAATTGTATACAAGTATAAAAATGTATAAAAAAAATCAACCAAAAAATTATAAGTCTTTGTACAAACATCACTTGTCTTGAGAAAATGACTCTACTGGTAAAAACATGTCAAAACAAATGAAACACAATCATCGTGAATGGCATGAAACTGAAATATGTGTAATCTGATGTTGATCTTGTTCATCTTTGAATTTTCTATTAGTTGATTAGTTACTAATAAGAATTAATCAAAAAGCTTAGTATAAATCTTATGGAACTCTCCTGTCATTCTGTTCATTCCCCCATGGTGAGAAGTTAGTAGAATGTAACTATATTTATGCATTTTTAAGGGATGCAAGGTAAGTAGATTCTGAATATTTTTTCAGAATGTGCACCTTAAAATGTTCATCAAAATTAAAGTCATTTGTAATAAAATATTCTGTAACCTCCATTGATGTCACATTATTGAATAATAATATGATGAGGATGATATATCAGAACTTCTTTTCTTCACTCTTTTCAGAAATTATTTATGTTTCCCGGAAGGCCTGATGTCGAGATTCGATACTATTTCCTTATGATGATTCTGTCCCTAGCCAATCTTCGTTACACAGGCTTTTGCTTGGAGCGATGCAACTGGATGAAAGAGAGTCAAGAGAAAACAAGTGTCAAAAATAGCAATGAAGAACACCCAATGAAATTTGGATTCATTGACCTACTTTGTTATACTACTTATCTCCCTTTGTGTTTCTCTGGGCCCCTGATCAATTATAATGAATTTAAGGAACAAGTGAGTAAAAAAGAAATTAATGTTGTTTTAAATCATTGTCATCATAGTTTCTTTATGCCTACAGCAGTAAATAAGTTTCAAAATAATGATTCCAAAAATATTAACTAAAAATAAAAGACATTACTTTTTTAACAGTGAGTAAAATGGACATATTTAAGATTTTGACACAAGAATTAGTCTTCACATACAGCCAATATTTGGAAAGATAATTTTCATAGGTGTGTTAACACATATGCTTCAGCAGTAGCTGAGCATTTATTAACAACCATCAATCTGCTCATTCTCACAACCAAGACATATTCTTGGGTAAGGCTGACTCTGATTTTCATCTTAAGGTTTTAGTGTAAATTTATATTAAGTCCTGTCAGCCAGCCCTCTCTAAACAGAAGGAGTATTTTTTAGGCCTAAGTATAATTAGTCTTTGATGTTTATTTATTATATAACATCCAGCCTTTAGTGTTTCTTAATCATTTCACCCCAAGCAAGACAATAAAGCCATGAAAAGATAAGTGGGTTCTGAGTATGAAAGAATATAAGAAAAAGAAAAACCTTATTATAGAGAGAGAACAATAAAAAAAAAACAGGAATTAAGAAGATAACAATTAACATTGCATTTGTTAAATAATAGTTTAACAGACTATTATTTTTAGGAGGGAATGGTATCTCTGCTTGGACTTCCTGAGTTTGACCTTTGAAGTCAGATGGAAGACAAAATAAGGAAGTCAATTTTGATTGACTAAGTTAGCATGGGAATGATAGAGATATACAGAGGTTTTTTTTAGTGAGTTGAGTCTTAACTGTCAAAAAATGTAGACATGTTGTCTTTTGTGTGTGAAATGGTTCCCCAGTGAGGGAGCAACCTCACTGGATAGTTAGAAAATGTTAACATTAATGACATTAATAAAGGTAAATAAGTTAAAATTCCCTGTGTTGAAGTTCTTTAACTCCAGGACTCAAAAGGATTAGCGATCACCAGCCGCATGAGAAAAGAATGCAACTTTATTATCAAATTGACACTGTTTCCCAAGAGCTCCTGAGGGGGCTATACAACACATTTAAATTTTTGAAGATCAAAGTTAACTGGAAAGTAAGTGTCTAAAAGAGAATTCCATGAGTGAAAAATGCAAGATGTTAGCATAAAACTTATGGGTACATTTAGCAATTTTGACTGTAAAATTAAATTCATAAAGTTGAGGTATCAAAGATAAAAGCTCATCAGAATATATAATAAATATGTAACAAAGACTAATTACATTTAAGACTACGAAGCAATCCTTCTGCTTACAGATGTTTGGCTGGCAGGACTTGATATAAATGAATTATAACACCTAGTGAAAATCTTAAGTGAACCTTCCTCAGTACCAAGAAGATGCCTTGGGTGTCGGACTGAACACAGAGTTGGTTGTTTAAAAAATACTCAGCTAAATCAATCACATACACTGCTTTGTTTATCAAATATCAGTTGTGAATGAATATGTTTTTTTCTTTTGTTGTTTTTTGCAAGGAGGGTTATCATATTTGATGAACACACGTGTAATAGGCATAAGCCATTTTGAAAGGGCATATTAAGAAAAAAAGCTTTCATTGTATTGTTGGATGGTACGTCATATGTTAGTAAAATTTCCTCCATATCCTCTATTTGGCCCAATTCAAATCATGTTTGATTTCATACAGTTGACTGGAAAGTAAGAGGCTGGAAGAGATTTTCACAAGCAACAGGTGTGAGAGAAAAAACTGTTAGCATAGAACTTATGATTGAATCTAACAATTTCAACTGTAAAATGATGAGACCTAACTGCCATTCTAGTAATTACAGATTAATAAAAAAACAAGACTAAAACTCTCATACCTCAAATATTAGAACTTGATGTTCCCTATTTAATCCAGTTCAAATTAAATTTGTTTTCGTACTTTTATAACAAATTTATGAAATCCTCATGTTTTTTTTTTTTTTATAATCAGTGGCATTCTAGCAAACGATTTTATTTCAAAACCATGTTTATTACAGTTGGTGAATTTTTTTTTTTTTTTATAATGTGTTTTACTACATATGTCTTCTCTGATTTCTCCAGATAAATAGCCCCAAAGAAGGATGGTCAGTGTCCCGACTCTGGCGCCACAGTCTAAGTTTCCTGAGAATTGGATTTTGGGCATTGTTCTTTGACTTTGTGCTTCATTATTTCTATTTCACTTCTTTGGCCTATCACTTGACCGTCATTCAGTCACTCTCACAATGGACTTTGGTGGGCATTGGCTACTGTCAAGGACAGTTCTTCATGGTCAAATATATCATCATGTGGGGTGTATCCTCTTGCATTGCTCAACTAGACCAGTTCAAACCTCCAAAAGGACCAAAGTGTATATCACACATTTATTTATATTCTGAAATGTGGAGGTAGGTATAGATTTCTAAAACTAAGAATAGTTAACAGTTGAAGAAAAGTTCAAAGGACTTATCTTTGCAATTGACTCTGTTTTTCGTATAAACTTCTCATGAAGGTCAGATTTAAGTAACCCTGATGAACAATTTATATGCATAAAAATTGCAAAGATAAGACGTTTGAACTTTTCTTCATCTAATGATGACTGTTGCTGTAGTTTTTTTTTTTTTTACTGAGCACTTTATTTACAATAATTTTCTCACCTTTAAATATGTTAAATTTAGTAATTTTATGTTTTGATAAACATTATCGATTTGTTATTATTATTATTATTATTATTACTAAAACTTCTCCTCTTTAGGTGCCCTGGGTAATCATGTCTGTTTTTGATTGTGTTTGATTTGGCAGAAGAACTCCTGCAGTTGGTTGCTCTTACTTTCTGTAGTAAACTGATTGCCTAGCAAGGCTATAGGAACCAGTCTGTCCTACTATTTAGCCCAGGTGATTCCATTACATCATATGTGTATGCAGAAACCACTAGCATTGGAGCCATGATCCTGAAAGATGGAGAGGGTCAGAATCCCAAAGCAATTTGTATATGGTGAGCTCTCTAATGGAAAGAGAAAGCATGGTAGAGCATTGAAATGTTTCAAAGACTGCATCAAGGCCAACATCACCTACACAGAAATAGCCCCAAGTAACTTGAAGAATGTGCATAGGATCAAACTGGATAACATACCATGATGCACAAAACAGAGACATTTGAGACAAACTGACATGAGAGTATCAACGATGCCCATGCAAAAAGAAAGGTAGTAGAATCACCCAAACCTCCTGGTTAGTTTCCCTGTTGCCATTGCAGACATCTTTGCCATTCCTGCGTTAGACTCTATAGTTACTTTCAAGTTCACCATTGCACATCAATGTCATTGTCGAACCCAACAGACCACCACTATATATGCAGGTATTCTCTGTGATTGCGTTTTGAAGTAATTAATTATATATGGACTATGTATTGTATAAGTTTATGTAATATTATTTAAAAGATATGGTAAAGGGAAATATAAAACTCAAACTGCAGACCAATTTTCTTCTCATGGCTTCAGGCACTGATAGATATCCAGATACAAAGTACAAATATACTTCAAGATATATATATATATATATAAGTAAAAGTTTGTCACTTAGTTGATTGATGTTACTTTTAGCATCCTGACTCCAGAGTTTCATTGGTGGACATGTCTGTCCACTCTTCAGGGGATATCAGGAATTGACTGCTTATATTTTTAGATTTTTCTTTTTTATGCACTTACCATTAATGTAAGTTTTTTTTCTGTATTGTTTGTGTTTGCATGTGTTCAGCCATGTGCCCGTTAGGGGGTATGTACATTCGCACACATGAGCCTTTCTGCACAGATGTATGTACATTTAGGATATCATGATCATTTTTCCTTTTTTTTATTTTTTTTTCCACTTTACACTAGCTCCTTAGCTTTTTCTCTCATTTTTTTCCTTTTCCTCTTTTCTTTCAATTGTATACATTGTAGCCAGTTATTGTATTCGCTAGACATGGCTCCATTTTTGAACTTCGTTATAACAGACTGTATTGTAGATCAAGGGATGGCTAACCAGTTTGTAATAGTGCTGTAACTATTTCCCAACTTGTGGAAGTTAATAATTCTGTCTAAAGTCAAAACTAAGCTCTTTTGTCTTCCACATCAGGTTGTTAAGGTAAGAATAACAATGGTGACACTCTTTGCACCACATGATGTTCTTTCCTGAAATCATATATATATATATATATATATATATATATACACACAATAGATTTTACCTACATTACATTCTTAATTCTCCTGTACATGCATAATCATTTCTATGACCATACTACATTTTGAATTATTATTATTATTTAGACATAAAAATAACATAATAATAATCAGAATGTCCACTATCCGACGGATTTGACATTGAAAGCAAAAATGCAGGGACAAACAAATGATATTCATAATTTTTCATGCTTTCTTTCTTTCTTTTAGTATTTCATTTCAGTATTCTTGCATTATTTCAAAATATTGTTCAAATCTTTTTTGATGCAGAATTTATTGTAGACACAAAGTTTTGACTAAGTACCCTCTGGTCATCATACGGCCTTCAGTCAATTGGCTAATATGGGATATCTCTTAATTATTGTGATATTTTGTCCCTGTGGTGTCGGTTATTAGTACGTCACTACCAGATCCAAGTATTGAACTCATGACCACTAGAAGGCATTTACACATATATGACCAAATCCTATATCCACTATACCACCATCCCAAAGGACAGTAATGGTATGTTTTCTGGATCCTTTTATATTCAATGTCAGATTGTTATGACGTCAAGTTCATACCATTTTTCACAATTTAGTATTTCATTCCTGAAATCAGTAATTATCAATATCCTCATATTATTTCAAACTATTGTTCTCATCTTGGTTAATATAGATGCTGTTATAGATGATCTTTGGATCAGGTAGTGAAGAACCAATTCAACAGGAACAAACAATAACTGACATCACAGACAAAATATCACAATAATCAACAGATATCCCATATCAGCTAATCAATGAAATCATGATGATGACCAGATGTTACTTGGTCGAAATGTTGTGTCTATAATAACAATCTATATCAATGAAGGTGAGAACAATATTTTCAAATAATATGAGAATTTTTTCTTTCTTTTTATTACATCATTTCAGCAGAGACTTTGTAGACTTAATTTGTAAAGAAAGAAAGGAAGTTCTCTTTTCTTTTTGTATTTTTATAACTGTTGTTAAAAATGAAAGAAAGGTATGTACCTCCTCTCTTTTTAAATATAAAAAAGACCTTTCTCTTTTCTTAGTTATTATATCTGAAGAAGGCTGTAGAATAAATTGGCAGAAACATTTTCTTAACAGTACAAAGAATGACTTTAATAGTTTGAATAAACCTTGAAAGGTTAATGACATGTTTCAAAGTTATAGACAGGAATAATCAACATATATAAAAATTCAATATGTTTCCACATATATGTGAGTGTATAACAGTTTTCACACAAAATGAATACAGAAATGACAGCAAGGCTTCAACAGTAAGAGAAGCAGCAGCAAAGGAGGTCAAGCATGACAGCAGTAGCAATCAGGCAATAGAAATATAATGTTTAAGGCTGTAAGTTTAAGGGTCATTATTCTCCTATGGGACAATAACCTAATAGATTAAAGTGTTGATTCATGAATTTGATGGGACATTGATAGTTTGTGTAATACAGAATTAGACCCATTGGGAACAGGGCGAGCAATAGCTGAGTAGTACTAAAAAGAACAAGATATCTCTCAGTGTAAACAGTGGAATGGGAACACTTTACCCTTGTAAATTAAATAAAAGGTTCAGTTTGAAATTCCTTGGAGGTTACCCAACTTGAGAAGGTCAGAGGTTACAATGAGGGCAATAACTGGAATGTAAATGAGTGCGCAAATATTACATTCTGATCTTTGGCAGAAGTACAGGAGAGTGACACTTTGATTCAATGGTGAATATTAACCATGTAGATTGAACAAAATACAATAAAATTCAGTTAATAACTACAAACTTATTGAGCCCCCTTTGTTTAAATCTGCTGTATTTGAATAATAGGTTTGAATGTATTTTTTTTTTTTTAATGTGATTGTTTTTTATTACAATAATATTAACCCTGTACAAAGCCCAACAGCTACTCAAGCTAGAGTTACAGAGTAAGATGTGTAGTTTATAAATATATATGTGGATAATAACAGTTAACACTAGAATTGAACAGGTTAAGATTTTAGTGATCAGAAAAGCATTCTCTCGGGAGTCTGTTTACAAAATAGTGCAAGCAGGGGTTAACACAAATCAATCTGTATCTTCCCATTACACTAAAAAGAGATAGTTAAGACATTTAAGGGGATTATAGCTCTATTATTTGAAGTAATGATTATATTAAATGTCTTCAGATTTATAGAGGAATTATTTCATCATAGCAGTTTTTGACTTGGAAAAATTGGGTTTGGCTTGACATGTGGTAGCATATATTGGAACTGATGCTCTTAAGTTGGGAAAGACAAATATAACTGTGATAAACACAGAATCAACTTTTCATTTGCTTTCTTTGTCCATTCCTTATTATGTTTTTGCATTTTTCTTTTTCTAGGTATTTTGACAGAGGTCTATACAGTTTTATGAAAAGGTAAAATCCTTTAATAAAGTTTAACCCCACCCACCTCACTGATATGTTTTTTAATCATTTCACCCCAAGCAAGGCAATAAAGCCACTAAGACACAAGAGGTCATTGAGTGTGAGAGAATATGAGAAAACAAAAAGTATTATTAAAGAGAGAGAACAATAAAAGAATAAGAAGACACAAGATAACAATTGACATTGCATTTAAATTTTTGAAGATCAAAGTTGATTGGGAAGCAAGAAGCTGGAAGAGTTCCACTAGTGAGAAATCTGAGAGAAGAAACTTACATCTAGCTATTTCAACTGTAAAATGATGAGACCTAGCTGCCAATCTAGTAGTGCACTTAAATTCATAAAGTCTAGGTACCATTGAGGAAAGCTTATAATATATGATAAATATATAACAAGGGCTAATTACATTTAAGACCACCCATCAATTCATCTTTTGATCTTGAACCCAAATGTCTTCAGTGAATAACCAAAACAAAGGAATTTGGCTTGCCGTTCTAATACTTTTGGAGGGGACTGTATATATAAAATAAACATGATGTCCTCACAACCAATGAAAACAAAACAAACATTGAATTTTAAAATTGATACAGGATATACACATATATATATATATATATATATATATATATATATATATATATATATATATATATATATATATAAAATCTACACAAACAGTGATAACATAAAATTTTAAAATTGATGCAGGCACACACACACACACACACACACACACACACACACACACAAAAATAAATGTGACATCTACACAACCAATGGTAAGAAAATGCCATAGAACTGAAATTGAAATATAACTCTGCATTATTCTTTTACTTCTATAATTACTGACACATCTAAATAAATAGCAAAACTGTTAAATTGATAGTTTTATACTTTTTCTTTATTTAATCATTTTATCAGATTTAATCCATATTTTCAACTTGAATTTTGTATTCTTTCATACTGTCAAATTGTTTTTCTTCATCATTAGATACATCTATGTTCCTGCTGGAGGGTCCCGAAATGGCAATTTTCAGCAACTCTTTGCTTCTGCAGTCAGCTTTATTTATATATTCTTTTGGCATGGAATGACTGAACACCTGTTCATCTGGACAGCACTGAACTTTTTGGTCGTAAGCATGGAATCCTTAGCTGGTAAAACACTCTTCCATCCTTTCATGGCCAATATTTGGGTAAGAATTGCTTGATTGCCCTGCCTTCCTTACAAGTAATAAGTTCAGCTTCTTAAACAAAACTAAAACTCTGTTTGACTTGAAAAGAATTACACTTTCTCATTAACCAGCTGTTGCATGTTATCTCTGGATTTTAGCGATCTATTGGCAATTCCTTAGTAAAGACACCAACAGACTGAATCACTAACAGACAATTTTCCTCTAGTTTCTTTTTAATTTTTATAAGAGGGATATAGTAAGCATATATGTCTCTTGATTGGTTGATTTTGTTCAGCAGCATATCAACCTCTGTGGGTTATTGAATGCTGAAATCTAAATATTTTGAACACAATTGTATGCTTTCAACTACAGATAAAATGTATTGTTGGTCATACTACTATAAATAGGTATTGTTGGTAATGTTTTTATATAAAAATATATTGATGGTATTCTTAGTGTAAAAATGTATTTTTATACTTTCATTAGTGTTTAGTTTTTGTTTGGGAGTGCACTATTTGCCCATAGCTGGTTCCCTGACAGGTGCTGCCACTCCAGGTCAGGGTGGACCTGGGAACAACAGCAATTAGGAAGTGGTTTCACACTCTTCAAAACTTCCAATTTTCTGATCAGAGGACTTGGTATCTTTTTCTGTTTTTTTTTTGCTTTTTATATTTAAAAATTGAGTTTTAAGGCTTTACAATAAACATTTGCTTGAAAAATTGACCACTGATTCCATTTGTATAACAAGTTTCAAAGTTTTGATGTTGTCAGTTTCTTTTTGGGCAAGTCAAAAACTGTATAAATTTACAAAATTTTCAAAAAAAAATCAAATACATTTATGAGAAAGAGATTTAATACTATAGACAAAATAGCTGTTTTGTTGAATTCCTCATCCAAAGATTAGTAACATTTCAAAGTTTCGGGCTTGTAGGCCTACTGGATACTTTTTTTACAAGAAGTTCAAAAGGTATTTTTTTTTTTTTTTTACCCTATCAAATTTTGCTTCCTCCTGTACTTACATAGTGAAATAAGAGTTGTTTTACTGATTTACTCCTGTGAAAAAGAAATTAGTTTAATCTTCAAGATACTATGAGTTAAGAAGTTTCAGTGACTTAACTGTATAATTGAAATTTATATGTATAGTCAAAGTCGCCTTCCTGTGTTATTTTTGCAGTGTTTTTAGGATGGAATGCGATTTCCCCTCCCTGTTTAGGCAGGTCTTATCTAATAATTATTAATTCCAATAGTATTTACAGTGGGGTAATGGATTGAGGAATCGGAGAGCCAAAGTCAAATTCCAGTTAAAACCATTGTATTCACTTATGTGTTAATACCCTTGGGAAAGGTATGAATCCTCTTCCTCTCCCCCCAGCTATGAGTAAATAGTTGGGCAGACTGGGTCTTGGATGGCAACTGGTCTACCGCAGAAAGAATTGGCAACCTAATGCAGGAAAAAATCTGCCTCGTCAGTCATGTATCAAAAGATACATGATTGCCTACGTGTGTATCACGCATGGCACACAACTGACTGAGTATTATCTTTCTTTTATGACTTAATGACATTGCATTTATAATGATTTTTCATTTCTTTGAAGCCTGCATCTTCACAGATACACTGTTAAAATGGGCTTCTGGCCCAATTACACTCAAGACGGGAAATCCAATAAACTTTGAATGGTCATAACTCGGTTGATAATCTTTTATTATGTTTTGTCAATCTCTATATGCCTACATAAAAAGATTTTAGATATATTGAAAATAAAAAAATATTTTAGGATACATAATTGCAGATTCTTCATTGTATTTTATCAAGAATCTCTAAATCTATAGCAGGAGCACCAGACCAGATGTGGCAGCAATATACACAGCAAGAACAAATGGTAGATTTCTAAGTATCTAAGATATATTCTGGCAAGAAAAATTGTCTAGCATGACACTGAACTGACTTTCCTAGCAGCAGACCTAGCAACTGATTCAATATAATCTTTCCACTTCATGTCAGCAGAAAATATAGTCCAGGAAGGCCCAATAAGTCACTCTCCTGGATGTTAGTATCAGACATGATATGATGGAAGGCAAAAAGGGTTTTCTCAAATGATTAAAAGAGAGCAGTTTCATTTTGGAGGTGTTAAAATTAACAAACCATTCCTTAATATGTATATATAATATATAATGATCGTATAATCATTTATTGTATCTAATGTCACCACAAATGTATCCACACTTTTCTGGTTTTCTCACTCATTTAAACCATTATTTAACTTCTCTCTTTTAAATTTTATTCCTCATTCTTGCCTTATGCCCTTTCCTGTTCTTCTTCTTCCATTACACCTCTCTCTAAAGCTTTCATACATTTCCCTCTCACCCTTGTTTCTCACTCTCACACATATACTTTCACTGAATTTTGTTTTTTCTTTTTTCTTTCTTAAACCCAGAGATATATTTTCTGCTTTCTTTTTGAATTTGTAGGTCTGATGAATTGGATCATGATTATGATTCCAATGTAATAAATTATAACCATGGAATATTAGTGTTTCAGCCTTTTATATATATATATATATATATATAATGTGTTTGTGTACATTCATTAATGGTAATGGTGAAATAAGCTGTTTATCTGTAAAAAATATTTGACATACATTATCTGAACAGTTAGTTTTACTGTTGATTAAAATTTTTCAATATTTTTTAAAACAATTTTTAGGAAAATAGACTTCTCAAGTCCACTGTTATTGCTCATTTTTAGTATTGATAGTAATTTCCTCTCCAAACCTTTTATTTAAGGAAATGTGGAAAGTTAAAATCTTGATTATATTATTATTTTCTCGTATAGTTCCATGTATCACAAATGATATGGGTTTTTTATTTGATAAAGCTCTATGATTTTTTTTATATATATCAGTAAATAAAATTTATTTTTATATTATATATTCAATGTGATAACAATTTCAGAGAATGACAAACTGTATTTATAAGTGAATTAAACCATAATTATATTTCTCTTTCTCCAGACAAAGAAAATGTCTGCCCAAAATGTTCGTCGACTCCACTCACTTTTGGCACTTCCAACTTTGTTAGCTTCATGTATTGCCATTTTTTATTTCATGAATGGCAAAGAAGTTGGTAACATCTTCCTGAACCGTCTAATCCTGGAAGGTAGGAATAAAGTTCTGTCTATTTTTTTATTATCAAGTTGAGTAAAATATTAAAAAAAAAAATTTTCATATATAATAATCTAGGTACCTCCACGAAATCGCTAAAAAAAGAGCATAGCTTGATGAAAAAGACGCCAACCTTGCCGAAAACTAAATTTTATTGTCTAAATGCTTATGTTTTTATTAAGAGGAAAGACCAAAGTTTTTTTTTAATTATTTTAAAAAATTTTCCTTCTTTTTAGAACATTCTAAATTTTGATTAAAAAAACCTTGTTTCTATTTGTATCAACGAACTAGTAAATAACATAGACAATTTTTAGCACGTTTTTTTTATGACACACATTAATTTGAAAAATCGTTCAAAAATAAAAATAATTATCGGATGTTAATGAAACTTTCAGAAACTATTCACAGATGATCAAATTATTATAAATATGTTTTTTTTTAAAAGTCATGGTAGAAATATTTTTTTTTTTTTTTTTTACCCCCCCCCATAACTAATTTTATGAAAAAACGCTAGAAATTCGATCACATCGGTTTTAGTGATTACAATAATTAAAAAGCACAGGGCTTTGAGGAATGCAAATCATGTTTTTTTTTTTTTTTTTTTAATTGGATACCCAGTACCTGAAAAATCAGCTCTGAATTGTAACATACAAAACTCAATAAAACAAAGATATTATTTAAATTTTTATTGCTTTTATTTGCTTTTATGAATATGGACAATATTTTCTGAAAGCAAAAAAAAATTTTCGATGAAAATGAATTTTTAATACAATTATTTGTTATTTCATTAATTATAATAGATTTTTTACATTTAAGTTGTTAAAATATTATAAAATTAGTTAAAAAGTCAAGATCGGCTTTCATAAGTGTCCTTATGAGATAGATCTTTTTTTTTTTAGCGTTGTAAATTGTATCATTTTGACTAATCAGAAGATACCCAGTAATTAAGAAATGTAATTTTGTGTTTATAATCGAGCTGTAATTATAAAATACGGAAGACCAACCAGAATATAATTAAGTTGCATTATTTGAGTTAAGCATTGTTCTCCGCTGTTAAGGCCTTTACTTTTTAATGAAACACGTGTGGAGAAGTTAATTTGATTTTTTTCAATTTCAACTGAGAAGGGTACCTACAAGTATCAGTATCATCTTATGAAATTTATATGATCTTATTTTTATATTAATCTCAGTTATGACATTTTTCCATAAATGAAATATCAAAATTAATAATAAAATGAATGCAAATACAAATAACAGTAGAAATGTAATAAATGTACATAAAATTATAGTATTTTATGTACAATTCTGATAAAATTTCATAAGAAAGTTACCTATAAATTAATTAGATACCTTTCTTAAGAAATATGAAATTTAATGTCACTCTTAACAGTTTTATTTTAATTTCTTTATAATATATTTCCCATAAAGCATCATAAACGTAAAGGTGAAAGCTAAGTACAAAAAAAAAAAAAAAAAAAAGAGACGCTGAAAGTTTTCCTTTAAAATAACGGGGTAAATAATTTGTTCACGTAAATGTAAATTATTTCACTTTTCTCCTTCCTTCCAGAGAACAAATTAGCCTCATGGAATTCGTAAATATATCATTCATCACATGTCAAGAAACGCGAAAGTTTATGACCTGCTTTGTTTTATTTTCAAATTACATCTTTTTTTGGCACAAAAAGCTAAGTTAAGTTTGGTTCAAAATATTTTAAATAAACATTATAATTTCTGATTTTCTTAAAATAAGTTTTGAAAAAAATGATAATTGATATTTAAAAAATTTCAAAGTCAGATTTCCAGTTTTTTTAAAATGGAAAAAAATGGTCAATTTTGCTGACTCAAAAAAAAAAAGATTTTTAACGAAAATTTCGGACGTGCTAGGAACGATTAAAAAATGGAAAAAAAAACCCCAAAAATACTTTGACCTTTCCTCTTAATAATAACAAACATTTAGATGATAAAATTTTGTTTTCGTCAAGTTTGGCGTCTTTTTCATCATGCTATGCTCTTTTTTTTAGCAATCTCGTGGAGGTACCTATAATAATCTTTTTCTTCTGTGCCAGTACCTTCACAACATGTGCAATCATGGCTCTCCACAACTTTCTATCCTTCTTAGTTTTAAGCAATGTTTATCTCCTTTCTATCATTCCCACTTCCTCATCTGCCACCCATTTACACAAGCTCATTAGATAGGTTACCCACTGTTTCCCTTTGCCACTCTTGCCTTCAGTAGTGACTCTTCAAACTCTCTTTCCTCATTATGTGATCCAGAAATTTCAACTTTTTCTTTGTGATTCCAAGTATTTTTTTTTTGCTTCCATTTTCCTTAAAACTTCTTCATTGCTCATGTTCTGTTCATAGTATTTTTATCATCTTTCTATAGAACCACACTTCTGTTGCCTCAACTTTCTTATTAATATGTGAGGAAATTATTCCAAATCCACCACCATTAAGGAGGGCTGATATTACAAAGTCCAGAATACTTTTCTTTGTTCCTAAAAATATTTCCCTATTAATAATTTGTTTAGCTTTTGGAAGACATCTTTTGCTATTCCAATGTACCTTTGTAGTTTTACTATCAGTTAATCACTCAGTGATTACAAATTTGTGAAGACAGAGACAACCTGAAGAGTTGGTAACAATGAAACTATAGTAGCTTGTCTGTGATTTTTAAATCGTTCTTAATTCCTTATATTTTGATATTATATGTATTGAAACACTGCATTTTATATATGTAAATTATTTATTATACAACTTTTGGAGTTCAATTCTAATATAAAAAATAGTAAATTGTCCACAAACTTGGATCTCCATGCCTGCAAAAAATTGGAGTGTTAAGAGATTGTTTTTTCCATTGACACTGCTATTATTTTAACAACCTTCACTTGGCAATGTTTACTGTTTTTAAAAACTGATGATTAGAATTGTAATAAAACCTAAACATATGATGAAAGTGAATTTATACATTTTCTTTTAGTTTTTGAGAAATATTAAACACTATTTTTTTTATTAGATTGTTTATTTACAACATTAAAAGACTGATACAATTAAAACTAATGCAATGCAATATTTATTATTTACCAATTTATGAAGAAATACATATGAAAACAATTTTTATTCTTAAATTTATAAATATTTATAGATTATTGAAATATGTGACCCAACTATAAGGAAATCCTTTATTTTTTAAAAGTTAAATCAGTTGGCAATTAGCCAATGCTTTGCCAATCACTCCAATAAACCATATTATAAATAGTGTTCATTATTTGTGTTGTCAATTCTCAAAAGCAAAGAAAATATACAAATTCACTTTCATATGTTTAGGTTTTATTACAATTCTAATCATTATTTTTAAAGCAATAAAAATTGCTGAAAAGTGAAGGTAGTTAAAATAATAGTGGTGTCAAGGGGAAAAAATCATCCTTTTGAAACTTGAAATTTTTTTGCAGGCACGAAGGTCAAAGATTGCCAAATTGTCTTTTAATAATGAACTCTTTACAGTTCATTTCCATAAAGTAGAAAATTAATCCAAGCACTATCAAACTTTTCAGCTGAAACCAACTTTGCTTTCATTTTAACAATGCTGAATAAATCTTTGCTCTTGAGCCATATGCAGTTTCTATATATATATATATATATATATATATATATATATTCTTTTATATTTATATATATATATATTTTTTATTCAACACTTCTGATCCTTATCTTCTGCCTCTACACATCCATCCAGCTTGGAATGGAATATCGACGTTACGATTATTTCCGAGAGAGAGAAAATCTGGATATTGATTTGATCCATTCCTGCCAGCTGCAACTACCAGGCTTTAAAGACCACAGTAGCTGATATAGCAAGTAGGTTGGTGTCATATTATTTTTTTTATCTTATACTTTCATTACATTTCAGGCAAAGTTTAACACCATATGTACCTGCAAAAAAGCAAAACAAACAAAAAAAACGTATCAAAAGGATGGTTTTTCTCTTGACACTGCTAGTGTCAAGTCAGTGTATGCACTCTCAGCAATTTTTATTATTTTAAAACGTCGGTTTTAGACATTTTATGAAACCCAAACATATGCAGTTGGATTTATACATTCTCTTTTTTTGCTCAAGAATTGACAATAATAAGAATTATGCTATAGGTCAGTTTTTGTTTTGACGCCGCTATTATCATATATCCCCCTCGGCAATGTTTATATTGTTTTAAAAAGCTATGCTTAGAATCTTAATAACAGCAAAAATGTTTAGTTGTTAGTATTTATTTACAAAATTAATTTTGTATTTACAAGTTTTTATAACTTTAAACATTATTTTTAGTGGATGATACTCATATTTGAGTAGAGTAGATGCTCCAGTTATTTATTTAAACTAAACAGTATTTTTATATGTATTTTCCTCTCACGGAGAGTGCATATTTTTCTCAAATAAGACTTCTCAAATATTCAGGCCGGTAGATGAAAATAAATAAATGTACTGTTTCATAGATAAATAAATGGAGCATCTACTCAAATATGTGTATCCACTAAAAATAACGTTTAAAAATCTTTTGGATTGAAAATTCATTACATTTAGAAAATTTACAAGTTTATAAAAATATGTGAGTAAAATACAGTGCAATATAAAGAAATAACTATGAAAACAATTATTTTTATTCAAAAGTTTATAAAAATGTCTGAACAAGAGAGAAAAATCTAAATAATGACGAGTAACTAAAAAAATTTTTAAAAACGCATCTTCCAGACATTTTTTTTTTCATTTACTTTGGTCAAATAAATTCATTAAAAAATAGGTTGTGGTCAGTTAGCTTAATTTTTGAACAAGAATTAGTAGTACTCAAATCAATTTTTTTTTTTTTTTTTTTTTGATCTAAGAAAAAAAGGAAGACATTTCATTGCAATGTAACTATTATTAACTAATAACTAGTAGAATTGGTAGGCTTCTTGAATACAGAAACTGGAACTTTCTCTCTCTCTGTTTAATTTTTACGTTTTGCTTCTTTATTTTTTGCGTTGCTTAATATTTAACCAAATTTAAGTACAGTTCCTTATTCAAAATCATGTACTTAGCTTCAATCAAAAGTTTTAAACTGATTTGAAAGGAAAATCTATCTTTCTGAGAGCAAAGTGATTGCAAGTATTTATTTTTTTAAACGAGGAACCTATATCTTCAATACACCGTTTGTTGATATTTAGTTTTTTCGTGTTGGCGTTTTCAAATGTTTTTGTATCCAAGTTTCATTTTCTTTAAGTATTTATTCTATATACATGTATTCATTTAAAAGTGGCATGAAAACAGAAACCATAGATACATTGTAAAAAGAGTCGTCAGGGCTTTGAAAAATAATTAAAAAAAATGATGAACCATGCGTTTTTGATGACGCATTTCTCATGTAAATATCTGAAGCTAAAAGCATTTTTTAAAATAAACAAATTTCACGCACACAAAGGTAAATACTGATTTTTTTTTTCACCGCTCCTTGCACATTACGATTATTTCATAGGTAAGTTGTTTTTAAATATTGTAAATTATATTATTAAAAAATATATCGTAAAAAACATGTTTTGCGCTTTGAACATATAGCTCCAGGGTTGGTCAAGTTTTTTTTTTTTTAAATCCTTGATTCCTCATCGAGACCCAGGAAGGTACGTATGTTCACAGATTCACGATACCTCAGGTTTTTTACGAAAATATCTTTTTTTTTTTTTTTTTTTTTAAGGGTAGAAATTGCTTTGCTCTTCCCACCACTATCTTTTGCTTCTTGATACGATACATTTTTTTTTTTTTTTTTTGTTTTACGACGTTTTCTATTTCAATATTTATGTACTAAAAACATTTGTTTCCCATTTAATGAGAAAAAGATGTATATTTGATAAACATTTTTTTTTTTTACAGTAAGGGCTTTATAGTTGGAAATTGGTTCTGCAACTCCGATGTATTTTTTTTAATTTATTGATCCCCTTTTTTTTACCCATCCCCACCGAAGTACTTATCGACCCTCTGGGATAGATATTGATCAACTGTTAAATTGTTCTAAAAAAAAAAAAAAAAAAAAAAATTATGAATTTAAATAAAAAATTTCGATGTACCGTGTCCACTATCCCTTCCGCGCATGAACTATCATGGCTTTCCACAACTTTCTAGAGCCCTGAGCAATGTTTGTCTTTAGTGGATTAACGTTTAAAGCGTTGGTTTGTGAATTTGGTGACATAATAATTGTGAGTTCAATTCCTGGGCCGAGCAGTGTGTACTTGGATTCGGCCTCATTGAAAACAATAACTGATCAATAAAGAGTTCTATTCGGAATTCCCTGTAGGTGATTAGGTTACTCTTCATTTTGAATCTTTTTTTTTTTTTATTATTTTATGTTTTGTGAGAGTATTTTTTCAGGTCTTACCTCTCTTTACTTGTAGCTCATTCACACTAGTGACTTTTGGATTTTCCTAATTTTTACACGGCTTATTCTTCGAAGATGCTAAAAAACATTTAATATTGATTGTGAAAATATGGTTCGAAATCTTAAAAAAATTCAAGCTTAGAAAACTTAATTTATTTTTTGAGGAATGTTTTTTAACTGTTGCTGATACTTCAAAAATATATATACTTACTGTTATCACAGGAAAACATTCTCTGATGTATATTTGTTTGTGAAAAATCGACATCTGTTTTTACAGGATTATTTTAAAACTAAGATCTTGGTTGTTGCTGATAAAATTGATATGAAATAAAAAAAATTAAAAGCGTGTTTCAAGAATCGAAAATGTAAAAAAATTTTATACAGTGTAACCCTGATATAAGAGAGTTGTCGGGACCGGAGAAGTCTCTTATATCCGGGTTTGGTCTATTTTGTTTAGGTAACACAGGCTCTAATTTGGGACCAGAGAAAATCTCTCTTATATCCGGGTTACACTGTACTATTTTTGAGTGTGAACATTTTTTAAATAATTTATTTAGGCAAAGAAAGCTTCATTTGTCTTTATTACTGCGCAATGCGCGAAACAAAAGAAGATCAGTTTAAAAGGCCGTTAAAAGTTTCCGCGCATTATTACTCGAGCAAATTTTAACAACACCAATAATGGCGGCTAGGTTAGAAGCGAATAAGGCCGAACTTATATTGTCTTAAACAGTTTTATTCCGTAAACTTTTATTGTTATTTTCGAAATAAGCAACACCAGAATGGAAATTTTCATTACAATTGGTTTCCGGGGCTTAATCTGCAATTTTACTTTTTTATTTATTATTTTACAACTGTTTGAGATTTATTGAAACAAAACAAGTTCAGTTGACCACTGATGACAATTCCAGAACAACGTCGTAACTATAAACAATTTTTGCTTGAGATTTTAAGATCAAAAATGAAAATCAAAGCTAAAATTCTGAATTATGTCCCTTGACAAGTGATTAATAATGATGACTTCTAAGAAGGAAATGTCGCAGTCCAAGAGGGAAGAAGGGAAAAAAAAAGCAAAAAAGACTTTTTTTCAAAGTCATCAAAATGTAAAGTTTCAATTACTCTAGTTAAGCTGATAGTATTTTTATTTTTTTAATAATTTTGTTGTTGCCATTATAATAATGTTAGAAATAGAGTAAATATAAAAAAAAAAAAAAAAAATCACTCGGATATGGAATAAGTTCAGGGGTTGTAACCGGACTGGAAATATTTCAACAAAGAGTTAATAACCTTCAATTAAAAAAAAAAAAATCATTAATGAATAAATTTTGAACTTTTTAATAAAATTGGATAATTCTTTTTTTTTTTTTTTTTTTTTTAATTTGGTGGTAGGGTTTTCATATTAAAGTGTGCATGATGATTGGAGGTGTTACAAATGCTTTATGACATTTGTAGCAAAAAGGAATAAAAAATTAATTAATCTTTATCAATTTTTTTTTTACTTCATTTTTCTTTTAGTACATTTTTGTATTCAGATATTTAAAAAAAAAAAACTTTGTGTGCAGTGAAATATTTTGACAGCATTAGTTAATAAAATTATCAAAATGTAATTTTAATGAGTAAAGGTAGGTATCTCCACTTGCTCACTGAAAAACAGCATAACATGATGAAAAAAGGCCCCAAACTTGATAAAAACAAAGTTTTATTGTCAAAATAATTATATTATTATAGGCATCTCCACTGAATTTTTGATAACCTAAGGTTTAAAATTAAATTTTAAAAATGTAAAAGCATTCTAGCTTTAATTAAAATCTAAGTGATTATTTCCAGTAAGTAAAATATTCTGGTGTATTTCAGATAGAAATTACATAGATTGGAATGTCTAATAATTTAAAATAATTTTTTTTTAAAGTGTCCATTTTCATTTCAAGAAATTTATAAACAAAACAAATTTATTAGTTTTAAAAATCTTCCAAAATTAATTATAGATTTGTGACAGGTTATTTGAGTAAAATTAGAAAATTTAAATTAATCTGATTTAAAATAAATATTACTTATAGCATAAAAAACCAATATACAAGCATTTCTTAACAATGGGTCCTCTTTTTCTTTGATCTTTATTGACTTATCAAGAAGCTCTTAAGGTGGTGACAGCTTTTATGGATGACTGGAAGTGACATAAATTTATGAAATCTACGTGAATACATTTTTTTTAGTTTTTAACTACCTAGTAATTTTTACAAATTAACATATTTTCAGCAATTATTTAATATTTTATTGACTTTTAGTTAGGTTTCAAGAAGCTTTATGAAATTTGCATTTCGTCTCTAGGTTCTTAAGTTTACTAACTTAAGCAAAAAATTAATTGAAGTATGACCAAACTAAAATAAATGCATAAAATAAAAAATATTTAGTGAAATAGCAATTAAGAAAAGTAAAACTTTTTTTGATATTTTGAAGTGATGATTTGCAAAAATGTTTATGATGAAACAGAACTGAATTAAAAGTGAAATAATTGCAGTGCATCAGATGACACTTAAATCATGTGACCTTTTTAAGGATTATGTCATGTATAGATTCCCATAGGTAGAAATTAATATATTTTTCACTAAAAATTATTTTTAAAATTTTGTAAAAAATATTTGGGTACAAATGACTTATGAGCTTTTCAAATTTTGATTCATAAATGTACTTTTCACTCAATGATATCTCCAAACTGCCATCTTGAAAGCAATGAAGGATTTTAAATGATTTTTGAACTATTATATGATTATAATTAAAAATTTTTTAAAAATTCTTGTAAAAATTCATTATTCATCAAAAAATTTTTTATTTCTTCAGATATAATTCCTGTTAGCATAACTTATTTACAAAAGCAATTAAAAGCTTTTTCTAATTAAATAATGTCATAGCTTTATTGCATTTTTATTTTACAATTCAGAGCAGATTTTCAATAAAACGGGAAACTTTTACAAAAAAAAAAAATTGATGATTTACTTTCTTCAAGGAGTCCTGTTTTTAACTAATAAAAAAAATCCATCCCTAAAAATTTAATTTCTTCAAATTTCATGAAATTAAATGAAAATAAAATGAGGTGGGTGGTAACATATGTATAAAATAAAAAATTTTTTTTACCAAGATTTTCTAAAATTTCAAAAATAATTTCATTTCTGAATATGTCCTGTAAGTTTCATTAAAATCCAACAACTATTTGAATTTTGCAAGAATTTCCAAATCAACGTGTTTTTCAGCAGAAAAAAAAAACCCTTTATCTTTGATCTGCCACTGACGTAAAAAAAACCAAGATTTTTAGCCAAAATTTACAACGTACTACAAAGGAGTTTTTTTAGAAAATCTTGGTAAAAAAATTTTTTTTTTTTTTTTTTTTTACACATGTTACCATGCCACTTATTCAATTTCATGGAATTTCAAGAAATTAAATTGCAATCTCAAAATTTGTTTTATTAGTTAAAAGCAGAACTCCTTGGAGAGTGTAAATCATCAATTTTTTTTTTTTTTATTTTTTTTTTTTTTTTTTTTAAACTACTCATTCACGAAAATCTGCTTCAAATCTTAAAATAATATATGTAACAAAATTTTGACATTATTCAATTAGAAGAGCTTTTAATTGCTTTTATAAATAAGATTTATTGTCTTAAGAAAACTTTTTTTTATGAATAATTAATTTTTACAAGAATTGTTTTCATTTTTAAAAATTTTAATTATAATAATGTATAATATTATAAATTGTTTAAAATTAAGCATTACTTCAATCCAGTTCGGTGATATTTTTATTAAGTGAAAACTATTTATGAATTAAAAATTGTTAAGTTCAATAAAAGTCATTTATCCCTAACATTTAAATTTTTTTAATGTATATAAAATATTACATAACTTGCTCCTATTTGAAAGTATGGTTGACCATACATGACCTAATTGGAAAATAATATTGTTTACTAGAGTAAATTTAAATTCAACATTCCAAAAATTAGATTGCAGACAATATTTTCCAATATTTTTAAGATTACTGAGTACTTAAAAATTATACAGAAGAAGCACTCACCCATCATTTTCTTAAATTATGCTTTAACAGATAAAGTCTCTGTAGAACAAGACTAAAGATGCTGAAAGATTTTATGATCTCTTGTCTAGTGATCTATGAGTGACAAGCAACGGTGATAAGTGCATAATCACTGCTATGGTTTGATTTAAAAATCCATTTCTTTGTTATTTTAAACTTAAAGTAAATAATAGTTTTTCAAATCAGATTAATTATATTTTAAAATATTATTATATTTTAAATTGGCTAATATTCTTCAAATAAAGTTTCAGAAAAGTATATTTTATTTTTGGAAGATTTTTAAATCCAAGAATTAACTTTTGTTTACAAATGGTTTCAAAAATGGCTGATTTTTTTGGAAGTGACCAAAAAGTTGAGATTTGAATCAATATAATTTCTATTTGAAATACGCCAGAGTATTTTTTTTTTTTTTTTTTTTTTTTACTGGAAATAGTAAATTTAATCATTTAACTTTCAATTAAAGCTAAAATGAAATCTTCAGGAATGCTTTTACATTTTTAAAAATTCATTTTAAACCTTAGGTATCAAAAATTCAGTGGAGGTTCCTAGGTAAAAGTGTTACTTAACTATTTTTTTCTTCTTTTGATAGTGCAAGAAATTTAAAATTGTTTATTCAAAGTTTAGTAAAATTCAAATCTTCATAAGCTTTTTTACTTCATTAAAGAAAATAAGTTACTTGATTGTGGTAGGTTTGGTCTTCAATATTTGACTTGATTTATGACAAATCTTTGAAAGTAGTGACTAGGTTGTAAGGTATCACTTGTTTGAACTTGGAACATGTTGACAAGTAAGGACATAACCTTCTGGCGAAAATGTATTTTTAGTTTTATTTTATGCAAAAAGTAATATTTACTTAATCCTTAAATCTACTAATTTTCTTTGAAACAAATCTCTGGAACAGTTACTGGATTTTTAAGAGATTAAAGATGTTTTAATTTCTCTTTTGTTGCCATTCAATAAATTCACTAATCAAGTTAAGCCAAGTGAGTTTATTTTTACTTTATTCTTTTAAAAATATCTAAAATCTTTGTTTATATATGTAAAATAATTTTTCTTTTTTTGTAGATTAACTTTAAGCTATTACCTTTCAAATAAAACTAAACTTTAACTTTAAAGAACTCATTTTAAATGTCATTAGGTAAAGTTATTAGATAAATTATTGTGAGTTCATTAGAAAACAAAAAGGAAAATCATTTCTGGTGAAAGAAAAATGTGTTCATTTTGTTTTTTAGTGTAGCATTTGAGAAAGGTAAAAAAAAAAAAGACACTTTTGATGCTATTTACATTATTCTCAGTATCTGAAGCCAAGATAAGTGTATTATCATTATAGATACATTTTAATGATGGCACAGCATGGGGTGTGTGAACATTGTGATAACAACAACAAAAATGAAGAGAATAGTCTTCATGTAAATAATGATAACTCCTCATCCCAGAAATTCTGAGACTGGATGTTGCCAACACAATCTTTGTGTGCCATATTGTCTTTCTCTGCTTTCTCTTTTTTATTGTCACTAACAATTCTTTCTTGCCCAGAATAGCCGTTATGCTCAGAAAGGGTTTTGTTACTACTCTCAGAACAAATTAATCTAGAAAAAGAACAAAATTTTCATTACTAAATTTCTTCACTACTTTTTTTTTAATCAAAGACCTGAACTCTTCTCCATTGTTCTCTTTTTGATTTACTTCTGCAAGCAAAGGAGAAAAATAAAAAAACTATGCAACGATCTAAAAATCAAAATATTGAATAATCTCTCCTCATTGGTATAAGCAGTAAGAAGCTCTTAAAGGAGAAAGAATTGGTTGAAGTTGGGAAGTAGTAGTGTTCTGTAAATCATTAAATCCAACATTCAGTTTGCTCTTTAGCCTTCCCAATAGTGTCTGAAGCTAAGATAAGTGTATTATCATTATAGATATATTTTTAATGTTTGCTAACTTGCCACAACTCCAAGCAGTTCACCAAACTAAATGATAAAAACTTGTCTAACACACAAAATTTCCTTGCAGAATATTTAGAAACTCTTTTGCCTTGATATGAGATTCCCTTCAAAGATTACCAGATAGTTTTGCTATAAAAGTACATTATGAGTTCTTTTTTGGAAAATTGAAAATATGCTTTACAACAGAAAGCAATCATAAATGTTCTGTAATACATCAGTCATCAGTAAATTTAGTACAACTTGTATAATTATTTATGTACATTTATAAAAGCATGTATTCAAATAGATTTTTTCAAATATTTCATTTTTGATTGTACACAAAGAATAATAACTATCGTATTTAAATAGTTTATATTAAAAACAAGTCTGTCATATTTTCAAATCTCTTTTTTGTTGTTTCAGGTTGAACTAATAACAGAAGATGAAACCAGAGGTTTTGTTTTTAATCCAAGAGCAAAGAAATTCACAGTTGCATTCTAAACATGTAATAAATACATGGATACGAATCTGAGAAAACATGTGTGACATTTAAATACATTTAGAAGTACTGGCTTTATTTTTATAATTGATTGTAAAAATGAGTAAGCAAAAGCATTTTACATGTGATCATTGTAAAGCGATCTTTTTCAATGCTTCAAAGCTTAAAGAACATATGAAGAAACATCTGGAAGAAAAGCCTTATGAATGTCATCTTTGTGAAAAGAAGTATTCTTTCAGACACTTACTCAACCGGCACAAAAAAACACACACAGCCGAGAAACGATTCAACTGTGAAATTTGTGGATCACAATTTATGTACAATTATCTGCTCAAGTCACATCTAAGAATACACATTGGAGAGAATGCATTCGAGTGTGAAATCTGTGGAGCATGCCTTACAAATAGCTCAAACCTCAAGGTGCACATGAAAGCTCACACTGGGGCAAAACGACACATGTGTCAAGTCTGTGGGGCCAGGTTGACAAGTAGCTCAAACCTCAAAGTGCACATGAGAACACACACTGGAGAAAAACCATTCACTTGTGACACTTGCAAATCTATGTTTACTACAAAATATCAGCTTCAAATTCACATGCAAAAGCACACAAAAGAAAAAGATTTTCATTGTGAGGTTTGTGGATCAAAATTTGCCTTCAAATCAAACCTTAGTGTACACATGAAAACCCACACTGGGGAAAAACCATACCAGTGTGATGTCTGTCATTCAAAATTTTACTTAAATGCACATCTTCGAGACCACATGAGAGTTCACACTGGTGAAAAACCATTCAGCTGTACAATATGTGGGTCAGCATTTTCTCAAAGTTCACACCTTAAGCGACACCTGAGGACACACACTGGAGAAAAACCTTTCAGCTGTGAGCTTTGTGATGCTAGTTTTACTGACTCTTCACATCTTACTGCTCATATAAGAAAACATACTGGAGAGAAACCATATTCTTGTCGAGTGTGTGGAAAAATGAATTCTCGTGGACATTCTTGCAAAAAACACATGAAAACACATTAAATAATTTTTTTTATTTGGCAGGATTTGATTCTTTTTATATATTTATGATGACCAATTTTATGTGTTCACAGATAAAACCCCAAAGTTGCAAATCTAAAATGGAATGTCTTTTATATGTAATTTTTAATCATAAAAGCATTATTTGGTATTCTTTCAAATTCTTTTCATTTATTCTTTCAGATCTTAATAACTGTCTTCACAGTTTTGTTATTAAAAAAATTAATGTTTTAATAAATGGATATACAAGTAGTTATGTCCTGAAAATTTGTGTTTACCAATATGTCCTGTTTTTTTTCAAGATTGAAAATAATTAATAACAAACGTTTCTACAGTAATTACATTTTTAAAGGTGATCAATGTTCCCAAAAACATTTTGTCTTCTATGCAGATCTATTTTTAAATCTTTTCATAACTTTTTGGAGACTGTAGCTTTACAGCTAACAATTATAGTTTATTGTTTAAGTGGACATGGGTCGATAGACAAATCAGGTGATGGATACTGTAAAATTTGGAATTATTTGACATTTTTCACAGTAAGAAAGAACTTCTAACATTTCTTTTCATCAAAACACTTGACAAAGAACTTAAGAATTTACATAAGTTTACATTCATTTCCTCTACAGACATTTGACAGTCATAATAATTGCAGCATTCTAAACACTTTGTATCATTGTTTTATTATTTGTTAAACTTTAACTGTTTTAATTTTTATATCTCTACATCTTCCAATTTCTACACCAACACCTGTTACCTAATTTGTCTATCCTCTTATGTCCACTTCAGCAATAAACTACGGTCATTGGCTATGAAGCAACCCAGTGTCTTATTTAATGGATTTATACAGGCATCAAAATCTTTAATATTAAATTAACTTATTTCCTAAAATATATATTTCATTTTAATATTTTTAAAAGACTATATTTTTTTAATGATTTGTTTCTGATATAAAGAAGCAATACATTGTCAAGATGGAAAAATTGATGTATACACACTAAAAAGTTCCTTTTGAGTTTGTATGAACCAGGATGAAAGTACATACATTTCATTTAACTCCCATCTGATATAATTTCAATGCCCTGGCTTTTCTCCTCCCCTTTCTATCACACTTCATGTCATGCATTAAATAATAAAGCGTTTCTTTATTTTTAAACAATAAAACCTAAATCAATTGACTCAAATCGCCTGAAGATACTGAAAGGTTGAAACCAAGGTAGCAAAATCAGCTGATCTAATTTTTTAAACTTAAAAGCTCTACATGTTAAATTATTTTATTTTTGTGTTTTGAGCACTTTTTAATACTACTATTTCCTGATCTAATTCAACTCTAATCAATAACTATTATATAATAGCACACAGTGCTGGTGGTAATAAAAAATTTTTTTTTTTTTTTTATATATGCATATGTAAATATACAGATTTAGTCAAAATTATATTAATACTAATAGATTATTTTTCTACCATAACATAATTTTGACTAACCCTGTATTTATTCTCATTCTCTAATCTGTTCCATTTTATACGGAATTCATTTTCTAGTCATAAATAAATGGACTGCTCCACCATCTTAACAACAGATTACAAATATTGAATATTATAATGATCAGTTTTTAATTTGTGTATAAAAATTGCTACATGCATGAAATGGTGAGGTATGCACATATATATATATATATATATATATATATATATATATATATATATATATATATATATATATATATGGTTTGTTACTGAAACACTGCTTGATGTTATATAACAGAGCTGTAAAGTATATATATATTAATAAATATACATATCCCACACTGTTCAATACAGGATATGATATGAGATTGTGTTACATGCAGGTGGCATCAGATAATTGCCCTGTTCCCTCAGTACTTTCCTTAGGGATCATCTCTGCCATTCCTTACTTGTGCAATGAGGAAGGTAACTAAATTATTGAAATGTCTAAATGTTTTTTAAAAACATTTACCCAAAACATATTAATCTTTTATATCACAATCAAATACATTCTAATTATAAACAGGATGAAAATATCCTTAAAAAAAAAAAGCTAATACTAATATATTCACCACAGATCCTAATAAAAAAAATGAAATTGATTATATACTAAATTCAATATATCCAATTTAATCATATGTAATGATTCCTCCCAACATGTTGCAGAAAACCAACATTGTATATAAATTTAAATCTCCCTTGGGGGGATTGTATCTCCAACAGAAAAAATAATATATGTGTTGGTCATACCATTACTACATTGTCTAGAAGGTTGAGTTTTCATTTAAATGATGCATCTGACACTTCTCAACATTTACAGCAGCATGCTTGTCCACATTTGCAATTTAGGAAAATTCATGTTGAAAATATTTCTATACTTTTTCATGAAAATAGCTTCAAGAATTTTTAGTTTGTCTATCTATCTGTATTAAAAAGTTGAAACCAACCCTTAATAAAATTAATTATGAATACTATGTAAATGTTTTACAATATTTACAGTAGATAGTTTAAAATATCTAGATTTTAACTAAGTTTTAAATAGTTTTTTATTTTTTAAATATTTAGACATTTCTATAACTTAATTACCTCCCTTGACGTTTGCATATGTTTACATAATAAAATTTTAAAACCGTACAGTACATAACCTCAGCACAGGTAACTTCAGTTTTGCTAAAAAAAAAAAAAGAGCATAGTATGATAAAAACGGCATTAAACTTAATAAAAATAATTTTTTATCGTTTAAATGTTGTTATTAAGAGGAAAGACCAAAGCATTTTTAATTATTTTCTTACATTTTTTTTTAATCTTTCCTTGCACATCTGAAATTTTAGTTAAAAATCTTGTTTTTTTTTTTTTTTTTATTCAGTAAAATTACAATAAAATGGATGATGTCTGCCATTTTGAGAACTTTTTAAGCAAAAGTTAAATTCTCCATTTAAAAATCTTGTAAAAAATCAATTATACTTTTTTCAAAAGTCAATTAAGGAAAATTAGAAAATTTAAAGTTTATTTGGAAACAAACATTAATTACTTTCTTTGCAGAAAAAATCTAGTTTAAAACAAGAGAAATCATGTCTTAACAACAGTGACGATTGAGAAGCGATGAGTGATTGTTTCATTAATGTATTGACAGCTAACATGAGAGGAAGTTATTATAATTTTTTTCTAGTTTAATGTTTTTTTTAAGTTTAAATGAACCAACTTATTTACCTCATAATTTTTAATAAATAAATACTTTCAGCAATGTAATGTATTATTTTTTTTAATTTTTTTAGGTACTTTAGCTTTAACATTATGTTTGTTGAAGATGCTTTCTGGAAAAACTTAAAATTTCATAACTGCTGAGATAATTTTTACGAGTACTTTGCAGATTGTAATAAGCTTTAACATTTATGATCTGTAAAGATAGGTCTACTTAATAACACCATTGCCTAGAAAGCTTAGTTTTGATAATTTTAAAATATTTAACAACTTTAATGTTAATCCTTTGAGCCCTGCATTCCTGAACAATTTTAACCCTTCTGCCTGAGCTCCTGAGTCAAAATTTGCAAATAATTGGTATGTAATGTTTCATGGTTGATATAGAAATAGTTACAAGTGCTTACCCACTGTTCAACTGGTGGCTGGGCATTAAGTCATTTTTCTTTACCACCAGTAAAAGTGGTGGTCAGAGCTCGAAGGATTAAATTGTAAAAAAAAAATAAAAAATAAATAAATACCAAACAATTGTTGTAAAAATTCATTTTTCATCAAAAAATTATTTTTGCTTTCAGACAATATTGTCCTTATTCAGAAAAGCAACTAAAAGCTTTTGAAGTTAAATAAATGTCTTTGTTTTATTGGGTTTTCTATGTTACAATTCAGAGCTGATTTTCAGTAACAAGGACTTCGAATTATTTATTTAT